GAAGGTCACGGAGTCAAATTCAGTGTATTTAGAAAAGTGTTGTCTCGTGTAATACACAGGGGTAAAATAAAAGCCCTATCTCTTTTCATTCAAAAGGTATGACTATTGTTAATGTTTTTGAAAAGCAGGTCAAACTTCAAGGTCAAGGGGTCAAAAATCATAGTGAATTTTGAAAGGTCTTGTCACAGGTAATACACGTTTATAAAATGGAAGTTTTCAAAAGTTATGTTCAATTTAAAGTAATGTTATTTTTTAAGTAGGTCAAGCTTCAAGATCAAGGTCACAGGGTCAAAAATCACAGCATATTTGAAAATGTCAAAAAATAATGCACATGTGAAATATGTAGGTCCTATTTCAACTCATTCAAAGTTATTATCAAGTTTAAAGTTCTTGTAACAGATGGAAAGACTGGCTGACGGAATAAAGTTTAATGTACCCTAAAAAAGAAATACATATAATTTGAATAAATCGAGAAATACGAATAAAAAAAAATTAAAAAAATATAGGATATTAATTAAGTTCCCTTCATGAGATTTCTTTAAAGACTTATAAATACAGGTACATATTATTCAAGTACCGGTACGTGCATTAGCAAACAACAGGCATATTTATAATATAGAGTCAAAATGCAACAATATTGGAAAATTTCACCACTTTCCAATTACCAATAAGTTCACACGAGCTTTCTGAAAATGGATTTTTGTGAAACCCGGGGGAGACTTCGACGTTACGTCAAGTTTGATATGTCACGTCACGTTATAGAATCATTTCACCCTAATGTCCAATTCGAAAAAACAAAATGTCGCCCTTTTCTCCATTTTTTTCTTAAAAGAAAAGCCTGGTTATCCTCTCATACCAACTTATCTTCATTTTTCACTCATATTTAAAAAAAAACTCCCAATCTTCCAATTTCAGTCAAAAACAGTACGTCAGCTGTCGACAGCTGACAAGGTCCATTAACGCTTTTAATTTGTCTAAGAGGATAAACACTTAAAACAGAGCCTGCAAAAGGCGGTCACACCTTTAATCAACGTCCATGGAAGTTCTATTTTTTTTTAATTTCTTATGCCACTGGAAAACCAGTAACTAAATGCATTTTCCCCCAGCCTATATCAATAATATACATGTTTAAGCTAAAGTGATCCCGGGATTTTCACAAAACTTATGACTTGACCGAAATTTGACGTTGTCTAACAACTTAAAGATGAACAATAAATCGCCAACTAATAAACTAAATATCCAGTAAATCCAGCTAAACTCCCACACAAAGGTTTATGAAAAATCAAGCAATCGTAATAAAGACATAATTTTCATTTTATATACCACATAGGGCGGTTTAATTTTCATTTCACGTATTAAGGATTAAAAGGGTAATAAACGCGTTAATGTCTCCCCCGCATTTCCAAACAACCGTTTCTATGGCAACTGCCATAGATTTACTATCAAAAATATTTAAAATGTTTATTTATTTAAAATATTCAACAAGTGTCTATATTCTCATTTGTTATTTTCAACCAATTTCACTTAAAAATGAAAAAAAAATATGAAGAAATTCCACGAACTTTTGGATCAACCCTCGTATACGTGGAAATTTTAGCGAGGCGCAAATTTAGCGATTTGTCCTTAAAAACTGGTGATTATTTTTAGCGAGATGTTATTTTAGCGATTTAAAAATGCAAATTAAAGAAGCTCTTACAAATAAAACACAATTAATTTTTAGCGATATGCAATTTTAGCGATCTCGGCACCCTCGCTTTAAATGCCAAAATTAGATCCTCACTAAAAATTCTACTTATACGGTAATATTTTGACTACGATTACCCTGATTAAAAAGCTTATTGGGTGTTTTATAATGAGTGTTTTTAACGGCATTAGCGAAAGAAGATAGTGTTGGTAAATTTCTTATATGATATGGTAAATTATTCCATAGTTTAATTGTACATGGGAAAAAACTATTAATATATGATGTGGTCCTCGTTTGAGGAATAAGAAAAGTAAGACCATCATTGTTTCTTAATGAAAATGAGGTTTGGGGTGGAATACAAGGTCTTAATAGAATTTTGACCCTTTGACCTTGACTTTAGAGCTAGACCTTTTTAAAATTTGTACCTTGGCCATAACTTTTGAACAATTAGTGCGAGGGTTTTAATACTTCACACAAGTAACGCTTGTGACATCAGACCTTTAAATGAATACCAATAGCCTTGACATTTTGGAGATTTTCGTATTAATTAAAAAACTCTAGCTTTGGCCATACTTTTTGAACGGTAAGGGCCAGGGCTTTTCATACTTCACATTTGTAATTCTTGTAAGAAGACCCTTCATTGCATACCAAAAATTTTGACCTTGACCTTGAACTTCTTAAAAAACCCTTGACCATTACATTGGAAGGGTTAGGATTAGTGCTTTAATACTTCACATATTTAATTCTTGTAACACGACTTTTCATTTGATATCAAGAATTTTGACCCTTTGTCCTAGGAGTTTGATTTTTCTTTAAAATTTTTAACCTTGGTCATAACTTTTGAAGGGTTAGCGCTAGGGCTTCCATACTTCATACATGTAATCCTTGTGACATTAAACCTTTCTTAAGAAACCAAAAACTTGGACCTTGGAGTTTGACCTACCTTTCAAAATCTTATCCTTGGCCTTAACTTTTAAACAGATGGTGATAGGGCTTTCATATTTTACAATTGTATTTTGAGTGAGAATTTAGAGCCTATACTTTGGGTACCAATAAATTAAATTTGCATTTAAGAAAAGTTCAAATTTCGCTATGTTGCCATACGGGGGCATCAGTGTTTATCAAAAACACATAAATTATGTATTTCGTATAGATTTGTATAGGAAAAATTTTTTAAAGGTACATGTATAAGAAACGGTATTACGTCAATATTTTTGTACAATGTAGAAAAGAGGGTTACATTGCCCAATAGTTAGGACTGCACCTCAACCAAAAGGACTCCAAAAGTGGGGTAGGAGCACAATTAATTTTAATGTTTTGACGTAGTGTGCCTGTTTACCAAGTTTTATTGAAATCAGATAACCCAGGCATAGTAGGGCCATCTTTAAAAGAATGTTTGCTTGCCCTCTACCGACTTAGATTAAAATTTTTTTTTTGGTAGGTAGGTGGGAAAATCTTTTCCCAGAAAATTTCAACATATATGTTGACGAGAAAAGAAGAATAATAAAAAAAAAGAAGTGTGTCTTGGAGTGTAAAAAATAATCTTGAGTCATGCCATTTTTAGTCATTCGGTCGGGAGATCGAGGGCAACCAACCACTTTTTTTTTTATAGATGGCCTAATATTAAAATGATTTTTTTTTCAATAGCAATGACAACACTGTTCATTGTGTGTATCTTGATTTAGTAAACCTACGCATACTAAGTATAAAATAAGAAGTCTCTGTCGAGACTTTAGCTCAACTGGTTTGTACTTATAATAAAGGAAGAGAAAAGTAGCAGTTGGGACATTAAAACTTTACAAAAGCAATAAATAGAATAATGATCCTTGATTAAATCATTTTTGTGGCAAGATTGCAATAAGACTACAACTATAGGAGTAGCTTTTAATAAAATTTTAAAGAATTTTCAATTTTAGTTACAATGGCAACATCGTTCATCAAAATAAAAAAGACAAAACTTATAATTATGTATCTCAGTGTAGTCTACTTGCATGCCAAATTATATAATCAGACTAAAACTGTATTTGGAGTAGCATTTTGAAAGTATTTCACAGAAAGTTCTATTTTTAGTTACAACGGCAACACTGTTCATCGAAATAAAAAAAAAAAAGATAAACAGAATTATGTATCTTAGCGTAGTCTACTTGTGTGCCAAGTTATATTGAAATCAGACCAAAACTGTAGGAGTAACATTTTAAAAGTATTTCATTAAAGCTATATTTTTAGTAACCACGGCAACACCGTTCATTGAAATTAAAAACCCACATACACTTGTGTGAATTATATTGTGAGACCAAAACTGTAGGAGGAGTAGCTAGCATTTAGTCATAAAATTTATATTTTTGTGTGCCAAGCTACCAAGTATATTGAAATCAGACCAAAACTGTAGGGGGAGTAGCATGAAAAAAAAATGTTTAATAAAATATGACAAAGATCACGCATTACTATCGCATAAAGATGGTCTCTGACCAGTCTAAAAATTATGAATGAAATATGAAGATAAAAAGTCCATAAAGCAATACAAATCAGGAGCAGAGCAAACACGGACCTTCAAAACATCAGAAGGTTGGACCAAGTGTTATGGAGCTCCGAGCAGAAACAGAGTAGGCATCCCGTCGACCGGTTCGACCCGCTGTGTGCTCTTTGTCATAATCAGATAAAAATCCGCAGACAATTACGTGTATGTGTAAATAATAATTTGCATTCCAGTTGCCAACTGTAAATATTGTATAGATTATAGTGATAGCTACATGTTTGATTACACTTAGTCTTGTTTCATCAACTTGTTTGTTACTAGCTTGTCTCATTTTAGAAATTATTCTTCTGTAAAGCATGCCCTTGTGTATCTAATCAACTGGGAGACACAGCCATCATATATGCAGGTGAGAAGGGAAAGTGACAATAAAAAACTTAAACATGAAAGTCATCACATTTAATATAAAGTGTAGAAATAAGCTAATCTTTAAAAATTGTTCAAGTAATACATGTACTGGTATACCGAAATATGAGACGTATGTGTCAGGCTTAGTGGTATCTTCTTTTTCTACTATTGCTATAATTCAAAATTGATAATACATATATATTGTACTACTAAGTCTTTTTTAAATACTCTCATATATAAAAGGTTTTGAATAAATTCTGCTTCAAATGATTACATAAGTAGATCTGCTAACCATGGGGTGCAGTTGTTACCCATGGGAATTCTGGCAGATTGATGAAGACCTGTTCTCCAAAAACTTAGATATTGTCAAGCAGAAACTCAAATTGTATCATTGCAAGTAAATCAGACAGTCTAGAAGAAATCAACAACAAAATCTTCTTTTACAGTTTTTTATTAATTTTTTGTACATTATATTTTTTTAAATGTTTCAAAACCAACAACAATGATATACAAATACAGCCAACATTTTTTTGTCTCAAGGGAGAAAACCCTCAAAGTCAAAACAAAAATAACCCAGATCACATGATACAGGTCATTATTTTTTGCTAATATAAGAAATTGTTGGAATTGATTCATATGATATAAAATTCTTCCTTAAGACTCAGATCTCTAGAATGAAAATAAAACTTGTGTGTGATCAAATGATAACCTTCTTCAAGCATTTTCAGTTGCACACAATGACCTTGAGTCATCCCCTTTGCAAGATCCAAGTCCCTACAGATACCAAAGCTTGTGTCTTTCTTAAAAAGTGTACACGTGAACAAACACATTCTTGGGAACCACAGTATTCTAGTCTTTCTTAATGTCATATGTGATTCCTGTGAAATTTCTCAAAGACAGTATTGAAAACATCACATTTTTTCAGAATCCACTGAAAACGATTTTGTTCTCCAAAAATACATGAGTATGATGAAAATGACTGAAGATGTGGTGAAATATATAAAACAAGTTCCTATATTTTGTTAAATTAAAATTCTAGTCCTGGGCCTGTCATTGACTCGTCTGTGCCTGCGGGCCAAACATCCCAAACATGGAGCTTATTGAGGGAGCCTCGGGCTGGGGGGGTTCAGCTGTAGGGTCCTCAAACAACCTTCTATTCGTATCGTTTTCTGCAAAGACAAAAAATATCAATCAGTCCATTAATATTTTTGATTTGTTTCAAATCAAAAAAAGCTTAACAGGTTTTAATGGCCTTGCTTCCTCTTCACAAATATTTGCTTCATGCAATTTTGATAACATACACTTGTTACATTCTTGCTGCATTTCGATACAGCAGATCACCAATTTTTTGCAACACCTTATTTTTGATACAAAGATTAACTCTTGCAAATAAAAGTGATTTACAGTATGCACAAACAACAAAAATAAAAGCAAATTCAATACATTTTTATATCAAAATTTTATAATAATGTTTTCTAAAATTCAACAAAAATTTAACACTGGGAAAGTAAAATTTTTAAGTGTAAGTTTCACCTCAAGGTTGAATTTTCTGAAAGAATTTGAAATCATCTTATTTAAAGGTAGTAATGCAAAGTTGGAAATTTCTTCACAGGATACATTTTAATTATTTTCTTAGTATGGCGTTACAATTACTGTACATACATCAAGAAATTTTTCAGTGCACACTAAAAAGAGCAGGAAATTTTTAAAGATGAATTTAATTATATTGAGGATTTTGTTCATTATCTTCATTTGTATTGAAATTTTAAATTTTACAAATGAATTTAATACTAACTTACAGGGCTTTTCTTCTTCTTTTTTATTTTTCATAATGTATTGCACCTCTCTCTCTCTCTCTCTCCTTTTTTACAACACTAAACATGTGTACTTGAACATAGATATTGACAGGACCTTTGACCCCACTTACCCCTGTATGCCTCCTCCCCGGCCCAGCGGTTCATCATCAGACTGATTCCCTCTATCATCCCCAGTAATATCCCCCCTGAAATGAAAATAGATATCCAAGATGAGGAACAACAAAATGTATATCAACAGGTCAGATGACAATAATAAACCTTTTTCTATGCATTGTACATGTAACTTTTAGGAATAAACTCAATATTTTTTTTTCACCTTTCATTTCATTGAACAGAGAGAGTATAATTCTATGTCTTCATAATGATGTCTTTGGTAACTAAGAATACAATACTAACCAACTATTCCAGAACCTGTTGCAGCTGCATAACCATCTACAAAAGAAATAACCATCATTATCAACAGCTATCTCTTGGTCTATTTGATTAGCAATTTTCTATATCCAAAGAGTTTATACATGTATTCAGCACAATGTTTTTAAAATCATGTCTTTATTTCCAGAGTTATCTCAATATAAACTTAATATTATTTTCAAAATAAGGTCAAAAAGTTTATTAAAACTTGTACAAGGTTAGCCACCATGCTACAGCTATAATCCACAAATACACAGGCATGGTCCTGACTTACTAGGTAATGCTAAAATAAATCCTGTTGTAAATCCACTCATAATGGAGTTCCACGGGTCTTCTTTCCCTCGTATGTGTGCAAAAGAACAGTCTGCTGTTGTGAACATTAAACCCCACATAGAAAAACTACCTACAAAATAAAATAGTTTCCATATACAGTGTGCATCCGTTTACAATACATTTATGGTAATGTCCATTTACATCCAATGAATGGAGCAAGTTTTAACAAAGACAAATGGCCTGTAGCAGTTTATTTTAAATCACATAAATACTGCAAGGTAAAATGTGAATTAAGCATGATTTCCACTGAAATATTTTAAAAAGAAAACTATCAGCAGTGGATTCAATTGGTCATTTTGATTGCAAGTCTCCTATGATATTAAATGACATAATGTAAATACATATAATTCAATTCAATCTTCTGCTTATGTAGGGTGAACAAGCATTTTATGTGAAAATATAATTATCGCAAGTTCCCCTGGAAGCAAAGGTATTAAATTGATCGTGAAGTAATAATCTCTATTTAGAAGTCAGTAGTTTCTCAAATCTATAAGGTGTTAAACAAACTTACCAGCTGTTCTTGGACTGTTGGTTACAACCTTTGTTAAAGCACCCCTTAATTTAGTTCCTTTGGCCTGAAAGTTTAAAGAATCTGCTATATTTGCTAATGGATTTAGAGCTAAACTTCAGTTCATTGTATCATTTCGAAATTAAATAAAACAAAGAATATTCTTTAATCTGTATCATGTATATTAGACAAAGAATAACAGAATTGACTTACAGCATTTCTGAATCCCTGAATTGAGTGGAACACACTTCCTCCAACAGCTCCCAGTGCAAAAGCCCCTCCACAATCATCGACTATTCTGTAGGGACTGTAAACGATAGTTGAGTAATGAATACATTTGAGAAAAGACATACAATTAAATATAATAAATGTAGCAATGCCCAAGCAAGGGGGAGATAACTTTCCAGATTTCCTCAGCCTCGTTTTGATTCCGTATCAAAAAAGAGCTTAAAAAGTACGGCTTAATACACTACTTTCCCTCGTGTTTTCAAACGTTTTGATGACCTTTCTATGAAGTTTGAGATGCCCCCTAGCATTACCAACCCTGAATGTTTGAAGTATGGCGCGATTAGTCGTTTTAAAAATAGATTGAAAAATTTAAAAATCTCTAATTTTCATATACGGACGAGTACAGTGTCAAAACATGCAAAAATAACTTCTTCTGATATACCACTACAAATGCATATCACTTACAGGCAAGTATTCAACCGTTCTTGTTCACCACACGAATTTTCCAAGGCCTACTGGAGCAAATTCGGATTGAGGCAGCCAGCCAACACGTGTGTAGAAAAAATGTACACAACGTGAATTGAACGTCTGATGGTCTGTTTACTTCATTGTCAAGCTGATACAATGTTATATTCTTGTTTTTGAACTATCCTGAAGCATTTTAATAATGAAATTCCGTTCAAAGACTATTCTGTGCGCGAAAACGAAAGTAGGGTTCATCTCAAAGTGAACAAGAATAAATTTCAAGATTGACTTACATTGGTGAAGAAAACAGTGAAAGTCAAATGAAAACTTCATTTATAATCATACTTTGATTTTTATTGCTAAGTTTATTTCTTTAAATGACAACACAGCATACGAATAATGAGACAAAAGCTATTCTGTATAAATAAAGAAAACAAAGGAATAAACTCTTGCATTTCACATTCTGTGTCATATTTTCTTTATGTCTCAACAGTGGCACGAGAAAATTATGAAATTTTAGATAAAATTAACAAACTGGTACATAGGTTATATTCTAAAATTGTTTTGATCAGTAAACTGCATTATCTGCTTTTAATCTGCTGATGTACACTTTCCAATCATTTTCCTCTGAAAGATGGATAACTCTGTAAGAATTCTGCATTTTTTAAACATTAATTAAAAGCTCAATTTTGTGTAAGAAATGATTTTTGATATGGAAATTCATACTTTACACAATGGACATAAAAAACTAACAATTTTATGACTCTTTAAAAATCATTGGGCATTGCTAATAAATGACTATTTGCAAACTAGAGGTATAAAAATGATAAAAAAATCATCAATTTTTCAAACTATTTTAGATACAATGATTTCATGATCCTTCAACTTGGCAGTTTGTGAAGGATGCATGTCATAACCAACTTTGCTGCCATGTCTTCTTAACGAAGTGCTTCTGATGAAACTATTTTCAGTGTGTGATCGTGATGCAATATTGAAATTCCCATATTTCTTTCTATCCAAGGTAGTATGATAAACCACGGTAGCTATGAAACTATCCATGACTCAGTATTTCATGTCAATGAATCCAACAAACTTGTACATCACAAAAGTCAATTTACATCATTGAAGCATATGATTACTCTCGAAATCTGAATTTTGTGTCTCAAAGATTCTGTTCCATTATAAACATAACTACACTGATTTCCCCTGTAATAAATATCAAATTGCAAGATTTCTTTCAAGAACATACCAGACCTCAATGTCCATGACCAATATGAATTTCACTGGTGATAGTTTAATCGCGTTTTATAACGAAATAACCTTATGCAACCCATCCCCCCTTCCACATGACGCAACATATTGGGCTCTCATCTTCATGAATGAAACTTTCACTGAGGAAGGAAGAGAATTCGGCAAGATGCATAAATATACATAAAAATATGCTATATACTAAAATATACCATGGATCTCGAACATATTCTTCCATAATTTGTTCTTTCTTGGAGAAACTTCGATCACGCTGAAGTTTACCGGAAGTTCTAAAAGGTCAAAAGAAGGACATATCGTACAAAAAATAGTCGGATCATCATGTTATAATACTGTAATAAGATGAAATCGCTTTTTTGAATGTAAATTTGCTTAAATTCAGAACAAGTTATTTCAAAATATGTATACTGAATTACAATGGAAATCATTAAATTAATTATATGGAATATTCAAATAAGATTTTCCGAATAGAAACGCCGCGAGTTATCAAAAACAGTCACCAAAAACAAAATTTGGAAAAAGTGAAAGTAGGGTTGCAAAATGGGATAGTCTTTTTGTCCACTAGGAGAAAGAATTCAACCTGTTTTTAGAGAGTTTTAGCAGTGCAAAATGTAAAAGAAGGGATTGCTAATCAAAAAACTGACCAGGAGAACTGCAGTAGGTTATTTATTTGCAATAATTGAATGTGATGCTAAAATACAAAGCAACAAAAGAATGTGAACAAAAACGGTAAAAACGTTGAAACAACCATCACCTAAGGCAGCCTGTTTAGTTCCAGTGATGGAGAACAGGAATTTTCTTCCATATTCACCATATGCTGATGGCATATCTCCTCATAACCAGTTTCAGCAAAATGAAAATTTTGTGAAACCAGAATTTCAAGGACCATGGGAAAGTAATATCCCCTATACACCAGAAAGGTACAATTCTGGACCAAACCAATTCATGGCACCTGGATATGGAAGTATTCCTAATAATTACTATCCCTATCCGCCACACTATCCACAACCAGAGACCGAATATCGTGAATATGGTGCAAACAATTCGGTTAATGTAGGATATCCGCCCAATTATGGAGTGCCTGGAAATCACTATCCGGGACCTGTACCATTGAATCATACACCAAATAATTTCTCATCAGATCATTTCGTTTCCCAGTATTATCCGAATGCAGGATTTAATTATCAATCTCCAGTGTTCAGTAATAGTCCCTATTTAGGACAACCCCAGGAGGACATTTCACATTGTGGGAAGTATAAAACCAGCAATAAATCCCTTGCCAAACCGTACACAAAATCCAATCAGAAAGAAAGCCCTTCTTTACCACCAGATCCATTTTATGGTAATTGGGCAGCTATTGTCACACCTGAGGAAAAGGATAAAACTGAAAAAGCTGTACCCCCAACCATTCTGAACTTTGAAAGAGATGACACGTTAAGTGACGTAGGTAATGCATTGCTACATAACCAGAGAGTGCTGTGTGAAAATCTTCAAGGACTGACTTTTGATGAGCCAGTTGCCCATGTATATTGTCCTTCTGTATATGCATATGAAACTTATAAAGAGTTTGTAAGGAAATACTGTCGCACTGAGAAAAAAGTCCTCTTTGTTGGGATTAATCCAGGACCATGGGGAATGGTTCAGAGTGGAGTAAGTTTAATATTTTTTGTAGTATACAGTATATGAAATACTTAAATTTCTCTGCATAAAGCTTTAAGTTTCTTTAAATTCTTAGTCCTATACAGTACACTTCTATGAGAACTACAAAATTGGATTCTGTAACACATTATTTCTTTTCATATTGTTCTGTATCTATGCATTTGGTATCTTCAGAATATAATAAATTGATTGAGGTTCAAATTCATTGATAAATTTTCAGGTACCCTTTGGAGATGGAACCTTTGTCCGTGATTGGTTAGAAATTCAGGGGAATATCCTGAGACCAGCATGGGAGCACCCAAAAAGACCCATTCTTGGATTAGATTGCACAAGATCTGAGGTAAAAATGAGGAGGAAATTTAGGGATTTATATCCCATGCATTTGTGTCCAGTAATCGGGCCCAGTTGTAGCAACTCTCTGCAAAAATGCTTTAATATTCTTATTCCTGTACTTTAGAATTAATGGTTAAAAGTTCTGTCATTTGGTTACAATTTTAGAATAGAATTATATATGCCAGGTATGTACCTGGTGATATTATTTCATTCTCATTACATTCTCAGAACATTTTTATCATCTTTTTCAGGTCAGTGGCAAGAAACTTTGGACATTGATCAAGAGTTTATGTGGACAACCAGATAACTTTTTCGAACACTGCTTTCTTCATAACATTTGCCCTCTGTCCTTCTTGTCGAAAACCGGCAGCAATATTACCCCTCCCGACATCCTTCCCGCAGAAAAACGGAATCAGCTGAACCAGATTTGTGACTCTGCTCTGGCGGATGTGATTCGCCTCCTGAAAGTGGAGGTGGTAGTGGCAATAGGTCGGTATGTGGAGACTTGTGTGAAAAACGTAATGAAGAATGGAAACTTGCACGACTTCAGGGTGGAGTATCTGGCTCATCCGAGTCCACTCAACCGGAAAGCAGGAAATAGGTGGTCAGAAATTGCTGAAGAACAGTTGAGAGAGTTTGGAGTCTTGGCATACATTAAAACTGCCAATGGAGCATCTGGAATAAAACCAGAGTTTTCAGAATCAGAAGCCTCTGAGCAAGATTCATTCACAGATAACAGTATCATCGGACAATCTCCATCATTGAAGACATTCATGGAGAAAGAGCTTCCTTCAGAGGATAGAAATCCATATTCACAAGAAACCATTGTAAAGCAAGAACCATCCTTTGGAGTCAGCTGTGTTGACCAAAGACCACCCACTGGACCTTCTTATGGTAATCAGGAACCAAGTTTCAACTCTGTTTCTAAACAACAGTTTCCTGGGAATCAGGAACAAAATTTTGACTCTGTTTCTACAGGACAGTTTCCAGTATCATGCACTGCTATATCAGAACAAAGTACATTTTCTGAAACTAGGTATGCTGAACCATTTTCTAGGGCAGGTTATCATCACCCTGAAAGAGGACCAGGGGGGCAAGGGATACCCCCAGAATTTGGCATTATAGATCAAGGTCCTGCCCCTGGACCCCCACCAGTGACAGGCATTACCGATCATAAACCATCCTTACAATATCGCTGAACACAGCATATGCATGGAAGACGTCAATATTGAGTGTACTGTAAACATGGAAATTTTTTTGTTCAGTTTTCATTTACAAAACCTTCTGTGAAGGGTTAATCTTTTTCTTTGAAACTATGGAAAAGATTTATTATATGTATAATGCAATAATATGGTATTTATATTTCAAAAAAATAAAAACAGTTCATGTGGAGTAAGGCTTTTGAAGTTTTTCTGATCAGAAAATTTTGAAGAATTCATTCCCAGATGAACGTTCCATGTTTACAGTATGTTTGCCTCAGAGAATCTAGCATTATTGAGAAAAGCTCATTCTCAAAAACTTAACTAACAAATTCTATAAGACATTTTATCTTTTCCAGGTCTTTGAGCAAGGTTTATTGTTAGGAATATCTTATATACCATTTCATTGGTTAATCATGTTATCATGGTTATACATGTTTGAATCTGCATCACAAAATCTTGTGCAGAAAATCCTTGTTGAGTATATGATGGTGTATTGAAAGTGGCTACAAATCAGTTATATTTAATTGTCCACTTTGAAAACCAGACTGTGTTTCCTTCTTTACCAGTGAAAGTCTGAAGTTAATGCCATCAGTTCAATTGACCATTCAGAATTTGTGAAAGTTTTTATGAGAATGACAAATTCACCTCAGGGACTACATGTTTACATATTTCATAGCTGACCAATAATATTAGTACTAAGATCACGATTACAATATTGTGTAGTAGCATAATGTAACATTATAGTAGAAGTTGTAGAATAAATAGAAATGTTATGTAAACTGTTTCTAACCCAGTGTTAGATGAAAATCCTCCTCTTTTGGACCTATTCATTGTTTACTCAATTTTGCCTTCAAGATCAAAAAGGCTATGTAACTCTACGTAGGGCATCAATTTGGCATGAAAAATTGGCCTTGCTGCAACCTAAGAATAACAATTATTAATCATGTTAAAAAAAACTTAGGTATCTTGCTTAGCAGCTAAGCTAACTTCTACAACCTTGGATGCCCCCTGATGGGAATATACTGGATTATAAAATTTTGATGTAACATGTAACATGAATGGAAATCCAGACTATTAATTATTTAATGATACTGTAATGAAACTCCAAACTATTAACTTAATTGTAATACATATGTAATAAGTTTATTTCAGTCTACTTATGCAATTGTAATAAGTCTTTAAATGTTTTTCTGACATATTGTAAGATTGAACCAGTGAAATTTATTCCATACTTTTACAGGACTGGTTTATCATGTACAGTTAAACCTTTGTTATCCTAAACTTTGATATCCTGAAAACAATAGATTTGTAATTTTGTTGAAGTGAGTTAAAAGTCCCAACCATTTTTTCTTTATGTACATATTATTGAATATTTCAGAATTTTTTCTTGGTCCCTTTGGGTTTGAGATATTGAGGATTCACTGTATTAACCAAGGATGACCTTTTATGAAACCATTGATACTTTTTTGTGAAATTCCTTGCAAAGACAATTAAAAAGTCTATGAAATATAGGTTGTTGATAATTGCAACTGGTTGTATGTCTTAAAGTTTTGTAGATTTTTTCTATAGTTTGTTAGTGTATATAATATATATTAGAAATGTGATTTTAAACAAATGATCCTATGTCATACTTTTAGCATTAGTGGCAGTGTGTTCCTGCTTGTTCAGTGGTTAGATTTTTTCTCCCTGTATTAGTGATATCATATACTGTACTTTTGTTAAAGAGAGAAATGTGAAAAGTTTATTAGTGCTTATATACACACATAAAGTGTAGTAAACCTTTTGATTTTTTTATTCTGTGGAATACTTATATGATAAATTTACTTGTCGATATACACTGTATTATTCAACTTACGCTTTCTAGGTTAGATTTGACTGTGTGCAAAAAAGCAATAATTTAGACAAGGGAAAAACTAATGAACTCAATGGCCAGATTATTTGAAATTGAAAATGTACAAGAACAATGTATTAATGTTGTATGTGTTTTTTTTCCAACAAACATCTTTAGAAAATAATCTTCCCTTATTCTAGTCACTTTCATTATCTTTTTTGGTGTAATCTCAATTTCTTCTTTTTGCAAGGGTTCATTTTGTGCATTTTAAGAAGGAATGGTAGTCAATTTCTGGCCATAAACTATTATTTTATAGGAAAAAATAGAAATGTTGTGGCTATAATCAAACATTTTCCTTATATTTTTTTTTTATTCAAGTTCTTTTCCAGGAGGTTTAAGGATACACCAAAGGCTTTTTTCAAGATTTTTGTCAATTTTGAGATTTTTGGCTAAGAAAACAATGTTAATCACTGCTTTATAATGCATGAAAAATTCTTGCTGATTATTAAATGGTTTTCTAATTATTTAACAATAATCAAACATAAACACTAACACATGTGAATGTGCCGTTATTGAAGCTTCTGATTTGTTCTGTAACTGCCTGCTTCTGAAAGGAGCAATAAATCACTGTGACCACTTGGGGAATTCTTCACTAGCCACACAGAGTTATCAGTAATTAAACTACAGGGATTCTAGATTTCGGGAAGGAGATCTAACAGGTCACTAATGACCATGAAATAGGAGGTGGAGCTTAGCTCTTGCCATTTTGCCGGGAAATCTTTCTGATTCAGAATTGAACCTATTTTACTTCATTAAAAGCACCTAAATAAAGAATAGAACCTCCCATTCTTGTGAATATGCATAGGAAATATGGATAACTGACAATATCCAAAGCTGAATCTCCAAGGTGTAATATATTTCCAGCTTTGGCAGACTTTGTTGTGTAATGGGTTTTTGCCCTCTACTGTAAAGTAAGATCAGACAGTTGGTGGTATTCTTTGAAAGGATTCAGCTCCCTTATTTATTGACCAATTTCTCTGAAAACTGGCCAGAATGCGTCTCAAATGTGTGTTCACAAATTTTGACTTTGAGAGGTGAAATACAAAAAAGTTGATATATAAAATATAAATGCACTAATATTTACATTAAAATATTAATAATTTTTTAAAAAGATGAAAATGAAAATTTAAATTAAGACCATTAAATAGTGAATTTAATAAGCTTTCAAATGATATATACTTTTAATATGTTATCTTTGTTAATGAAAGAATTACAAGCAAATTAAATTTTGCCCTTTGGAAACCTTTGGTGTATCCTTAAATGGTAACTGTTTAAAATTTGCCAGAACCACCACTTTTAAAGTTATTGATATTTTAAACATACTATTTTTTACAACAAAATTAGTTTCATATTTACATAACTGGAAAATTTTATGAAAATTTTTGTGTAAAATTTAATATTTTTTTTTTATTTCTTTGTACCACTGAACTGAAATGCTTATTTTTGCAAAGATCTGAAATGGTTTTAAAAGCCAATATACTACTCCTTGAAAAGATGCATTTATGTTAACTGACTGCAAATATACCTATGATATAGTTGACTTACATACTTGAAGATTTTAGAAATATTTTTATATTAAAGGTGATAGTTTACATAACAGAAATTGATTTAAAACCTGTGCGCACTTCCAAAAATAGTCCCAGTTGCTGCAAAAATTTCATGCAGTTTGGGATAAAAAATTTTTTAATATTTTTTTTTTTAACATGAAAGAAAAAAAAATCATATAAATTGCGGTTTTTTTTTTTTTTTTTTTATGATTATTTTGCAATGTTTATATATTTGTGTTTTACAAGATTTAAAATTTTAGATTTAACATAAATGTAGTACATATAATGAAACACTTATGTGAATTTTACATCATAACATATTTGTTTGTGTTTGCTCTTGTCGCTAAATTTTCATATGCATATAAATTACAATAAAGTACTGTATCTGAAATAATGAATTTGATTTTTTAAAATGAAAAACTGAAAGGTCGGGTTGGGTTTGGATTTTTAAATGATATCGGGATCGACATTGATTTAACTCTTTCGAATTAGGAGGCACGAAAGGCAAAATATAAGTGCTTCCGGTTTGCGTAATGAATTTCCACTGACTAAAGTTTTATTTTTTCTCAAGAGAGTGACAGAGTATCCATATAGATGGTAATTATTTCAAAACTTTTGTTCTCTTTGATAAGATATGTGCTTATATACAACTCAAAGTTGGTCTTTTTGTAAGATCATCATATTGCGCGTGGCACCTGTCAGACATGTGGAAAAAAAGAAGTTAATGACTCAGAACTCCTGATGTCATGATATTCTGTATACCTGGGGTCTCTTGTGTTCATCTTTGGAGTGAATCGATCATATTTGGAGGAACTGTAGAGTAGACACAATTATTTTATGCTTCAATCACGTAAGCTATCTGGAAGAACATATCAACAGCACTGTCATGTTATTTGCCATTTATTGCACATGGAATTTGACCAAGAGATTTCTTGGAGGTTTCCCAGAACATGTCACTGGCTGCTCTTGCTATGAGAACAAATTTAAGCCAGATTCGCATAGCCAAAAAATTTGGACTGAGACATAAATCTAAGATTTCAAGTCTAGACAAATCTTGCAGCGATTATATGAGAACAGAAGGTGCAGAAAATTGAGTGCTAATATGTTGACAGTGCAACTGTTGGGGCTAGCACAATTTTGTATCACTAAATTATCTGATATTATGTTCTACGGTGTGACCGTTGGGGCGAGCGCAGTTATTTACTATCAAAAACCTTTACACAGCTTTTACTTGCAGTGCATATCCTCAGTTCATTTAAAAAAAGATAATAAAAAGAAATCACTTCCCAGGCATCGGGATCGAGATTCCGAACTTTTCGGAAGTTTCAGACAAAATCGGAAATACCCGAGCCGTTTAAGTGACGAAAGTATGACGTCAGCTAAAAAGTCCTGTTGACTTATGACGCAAACGATAGTTTTATGGCATGGAGATTGCATTAAATCGTTGTTTGTAATTTTTTTTCATGTAAGTTGTTGCTATGTTTTAGCCACCATGTTGCTATGCGCCGTAAAGGATTATTGGGAGTTTGGAATTTTTTCACGTGGACTCATAAAAATTTCTTGGAACAATGTGCAGATTTCAACCCGAATTTCCTTAGTACACGTTAGTCTATTGAGCTCGCTACGCGAGGGCCGCTTCGCGCCGCCTCGCTGCGCCCGCTATTAATTTAATCTTAACTCAATTTAATCCCAATTAAATTTCAAACTGCATGAGACATTTGGAAGGTCTAGAATTTGACATCACATGACATTGTATGTTGGTTGCTTTTCCAAAGTCTGAACATGCTGAAAGGTGCAGATTCTTATTTAAGGATATTTAATCTACCGGGTACTAACATTCTACACTATTTGTTAAGTGAAAGTGAATTCAAATTTTTGTGAACTTTTGTTTGTTGCAATGATATCATAGTTCATACATATTGTACAAAAAAATGTTGTACATGTAGTGATAGGCACTTTAATTGCAAACGGTTGAAACATGTAAGTCTAGAAGTGACTGTGGGGAAAAAATCATCTAAATCAATATGTCTAAATTTTCTCATCTCAGATGATAAGGTTTGACATCTATAACTTACATTTTATTCTGCAGATACCCAAGTTATTTCAGTGGCTGATAGGAGCTGGCCTCTTTGTGGCAGTGTGGCTTGCCTTTGTTCTGGAAAAAGTTGATGTTCAGTTGACAGAAATCCAGAAAACTCTTGTTTTACTTGTAAGTAAAGCATATCTTGAAAATTTAGGTTATAGACTGTTAATATTTTACATTTTCTTAGTTGATTAATTTTTAGCAGTGATGGAGAGGTAGGTTAAATGGCAAAAAATCAGTCTTCTACAGGATTTGTAAATGTTTCCTTATAACTGAGATTACAGTTTAGGCAAGTTCTTTATATCTGAGTCCTATTGTATTAAAATATACACATACCAATCTAATTTGCCCTCCTTTTCATTTCAGTCTCCTGTGATAGCAGTTGGTATTTTTGGGGTAAGTACTACATGTGTAACACATAATAGAAAGTACTTAAAATAATATCTTAGTGTAATTGTTAAACTTTATTATCCTGCAATTAAGATCATTCCATAATCCACCTGAAGAAAAACATGTATTGTGAATATTGTGAAACATCACTGAATTCCTTTGCAATTTTAAATGTTTCTATGCATTGTGTATCTAAGGATGTTCATCAATAAAGTATAAAACTTTTCTTTTTATTTCCAGATTATCTCTGCTCTAATAGTTTTATACAGAGTTGCAATATTTAATGATTGTAAAGATGCCGCAGAAGAATTAAAACAGGTAATTACTGCATACCGGTAAATGTACAGAACATATTGAAAATTAAGAAAATTCATTTTAATACGGAGTGTTGTTTCCCTTATTCAAATGACTTCTTTTATTTGTAAATTTTGATGTTTTGCAAATGGGTCACTTTTACCCACAACTTTACATCCCCATAAACCTTATCTTTGTCAACATTTTTCTACATTGAATGTTCTGCAGGTAGAAGTTATCCTTGAATTAACATTCCTATGAACTTTTAAAATTTTACTGCCCACAAACATTGACCCTCTGGAATGAAAATGATTCCATAGTATCAACAGTTATATATTTTTCAGTGTGGTTTGAAAGAGTTAATAGTATTCAAAAACAATTTTGTTTTATGCTTTCAGCAAATAAAAGAAGCACGAGAAGATCTGTCCAGAAAAGGATTCAAGTTTGACGACACGTGACAAACATAGGAGATCATCATCATCTTTCTCATATGTTGTTATACCACTCTACACATGATTAAAATGTTTGTTCTAAATTCTTCAATTTATTTATGCTTTGCCCATGTTCATAAACAATTATATCTTACAAAATTGAACCGCAAAGTCACTTCTGTCTGAAAAACAGTAAAATCACACTTTCATTAATAGTTCTAACTACATGTAGGATATACTCAGGTCTTATGAAGAAGATTGTATGGAGTTGCTCAACAATACGTGCCACAAGTTTAAAAGAATTGGATTTTGCCATCAATTGTTTTTGAGCCATGATGCATTATCCTCAAGGAGTAGATCTAAATGATTTGATTCTAGGTCTTGCTACTCAAGATACGATATGGAGAGAAAGTGACTATTATAATGAATGGCTGTATACTTAATCCAGAATGAGGTCACAGTGACCCATTTTTGGGATTAGAAATGCATCAACTTACAGGATTTAATGATCATAGGTGCATATTGCGACATCTAACTTTGAATGACAGTGATACTGGCAATATATACATCTATCCAATTTGAATATACTCAGCTGTATGTGTAAATGTATTTGGAACCAGAAGTCTCTGTCGAGACTGTAGCTCTACTGGTTTGTACTTATAATAAAGAAAGTAAAGTAGCAGTTAAGACTTAAAACTTTACAAAAGCAATAAATAGAATAATGATCCTTGATTAAGTCTCTTTTTGAGGCAAGACTGCGATAAGACTACAACTGTAGGAGTAGCTTTTAATAAAATTTTACAGAATTTTCAATTTAAATTACTATGGCGACATAAATCATCAATATCAAAAACACAAAACTGATAATTATGTATCTCAGTGTAGTCTGCTTGTGTGCCAAGTTATATTAAAATAAGACCAAAACTGTAGAAGTAGCATTTTTCATGTATTTCAAAAAAATTTCTATTTTTAGTAACCATGGCAACACCGTTCATCGAAATAAAAAACTGATACACAGAATTATGTATCTTAGTGTAGTCTACTTGTGTGCAAAGGTATATTGAAATCGGACTTAAACTGTAGGAGTAGCATTTTAAATGATTTTCACAAAAATTTCTATTTTTAGTAACCATGGCAACACCGTTCATCAAAATCAAAAACCAATACAAAGAATTATGTATCTTAGTGTAGTCTACTTGTGTGCCAAGTAATATTGAAATCAAACTTAAACTGTAGGAGAAGTAGCATTTTGATATTTTTAAAAAGAATTTCTATTTTTAGTAACCACAGCAACACCGTTCATCGAAATCAAAAACCGATACACAGAATCATAGCTGTGGGTAAGTATCTAAGTGTAGTCTACTTGTGTGCCAAGTTATATTGAAATCAGACCAAAACTGTAAGAGGGGTAGCATTTTGAAACAGTTTCACAGAAATTTCTATTTTTAGTAACCACGGCAACACCGTTTATCGAAATCAAAAACCGATATACAGAATTATGTATCTTAGTGTAGTCTACTTGTGTGCCAAGTTATATTGAAATCGGACCAAAACTGTAGGAGGAGTAGCGTTTTGAAAAATTGTTTACAGACGGACAGACAGACAGACAGACAGACGGATGGACGACGGACGCATTACTATCGCATAAGCTCTTCTGGTCTCTGACCAGTAGAGCTAAAAAGCAGCTTTGTGCACAATGATATGCTAATTCCTGAATACTGCTAAGAAATCATATGTACAATATATGGCAAACATTTGTAGTGCTAATTCATGATTTTGACAACTCCATACACAGTGATTGCGCTAAATTTTGAATATGCCAATATATGTAAAAGTACAGTAAATAGCTTATCTGAAAAGATACATTTCAAGAATTTAGTACGTACAAGTTTACTTTTGGCATTATTAGCATTATTATTGGCATTATTATTAATAATTTTAGCATTATTAGCGGTGTTGAGATTGCTTAAATTAAATAAATTAAATATGGGTAAAAAATTTTTTTTTCTTGCAATAGCTTCTCTAGTGAGCATTTTAAAATCACAGAAATTACTTCTTGCTAAAAATAAAATAATCTTTTTAGTGAAACCATTGAATTTGTGTCTCCCTAAAATTTCCATTTATACAGTATATTGCTTGCATGGCAATGGCATTAGCTCATTGAGAATTTAGCTCAGAAGAGCCAACAAATATGATGTTCAATTTTAGTGAGAACTTTTACCACAGGATCACAAGCAGACCTCACATCTAGGTCAAGACCAACAGGTATGAACTACTCAAACTAGATGGGAGCTAGTTTCCTGTCCGCAACTATCTGTGTTGGGATAGCAATTAACAAGAAATTCCTTCATCATCTGCTCTGAATGGTTTAGCATATAAGGAAGTTAACAATATCTAAAGGAATGGATTCCAAAAGGCAAGCTCTATTTATTACGATAATGCCTTTTAAATCTGTCTACTCTGACATTTAACAAAATTGTAGGAGGCATCTAACAAGCTTAAAATAAACTAAAAGCCAGTGGTAACCATATTAAGGATTTCTACTTGACAGAATGAAAAATACAAACAAGGCTGACATATAGTAAAATGTTTATTCTCTAAAACTATCTCTAAAATGATCTATGCTATCTATATATAAATGGGAGCTGTTTTTTTAGCAATCTTTTTTTTTTGTCCCAATCATTTAAAAGAAGAAAAAAAAAAAAAAGATTTTGCACAAACATCAAGTTTACAGAATAAAATTTGTAATCAAAAACTTTAAAGGGACATAACTTTAACAACATTCACAATTTTTTTTTGTTTCCTATTGAACAACAAGCAGAATTGCCATAACTATGTATATATATATTTATAAATATTTATATAATGATAATGAATGTATAGTATATATATCGCAATAACAACACAAAAAAGTCACACAATTATATATATATAATAATTATTTACACATAAAATGTACAAAGTATACAAACAATAAACAATTCAGCAGATACAAACCTATAACTTAATCCTAACAAGGAGAAAAATCAACACTCGGTATAAAAGTAACAAAAGAAGGTATTTAAAACTGAAAGTCTTTAAAAACACTGTAAACAAATATAACTGATATAAAACTGGGTTTTCAAATGCTGTAATAAAATAAAACTTAGGTGCCATATTGCTCACATGGGTTACATCAGATTGATTCACATTTATCTCCCTTGATATCCTTGCATTATCACCAGAAAAATATTGCATCCATGCAGACCATGCTACAGAATTTTCAAGCAAAATCACTTTATTTTTAAATAATTCAAAGGCTTATGCAAGCCCCTTAGAAAGGTTATACTTATACATGTATGTCTAATTTAATAACAAAAGCTATCAAATTATTCAGTGAAATCAGAAATCGTGGTGACCATGTTGGAATTTCGGCTGTCAAAAATTTGCAACTTTTACAAAATCATTATACATATGTATAGAAGTTGGTGACAAACATGCCTCCACGTAGGAAGAGTTTGACCTCTATTCATATGTAGGAAAAGTAAATGTGTGGTTCAAATGGACCTCGTATTGTTCCTAGAAGCAAAAACTGCAGCACTGATAGGAGATCATTGGCATTTTTTTTTGAAAATGAAATATTTCTCATCCATCAAATTGTGGAATTCCTGCCAATCCAAAATGCACTGTTTTAGGACCAAAAGGGAAATATCTTTAGCACCATCTTTCAAATTACAGCATGAACATCAAATACTGTCAGACATACAAATTATGATCAGAGAACTTTCTATAGCAAAGGGCCAATATCAACAAATAATCTTATTTAAATCCACCATATCTATTTCTTGTCTTCCAAGAAAAAATCCTTCTTCCAATGCAGAAAAGAAAAAAAATTGTCAAGGCAATATCTAGAAAATTAACCCCTCCGTGACCATTTACAGGAGTGCTATTATCTTTAAAACCAGTACCCTTGAGTGTGTGTTTACATATGATACAATATACATAATGCCTTCAAGTACCGGTAGTTTTTATTTACTTTCTGAAAGATATTAAACCCTAAAAACAAAAAATACTGGCAACGAACCCTGAGAGAAAAAGAAAAAAAAATGCTGTGAATTTATTTTGAATTAATTTCCCTTCTAAGGTCATATGTTGAATATATTTGGTATATTAAGCAAATAAATGTATATTTAAGTAAAAATAAAAAATCTGCAAAAAAAGTCCCATTGGATGAATAAGCTAAAGGTTTCAATGCTATTTTCCTTACACAATTATTTCCCTTTCTTTGGGGGTTAGATTTTTGACAAGTGCTCAAACAAAATTTGGGGGAAAAAAATCAAAGGATGTACAATCTCAAGAAAAGGCATTTTTGCACTGTAAAAAAAAAGATGCACATTTGTTCTATTAAATTAATATAATAACTTACTGAAAATAATACACTTTCAGGGAGAAACATGTTCTGACATTTTTATATACTTGGCTGTTCATTATACTGTGGTTTTGTTCTATCAAATAGAAATGAAAACAAATTAAAAAAAAAAGGTAAAAGGCAAAAACAACACCAAATAAGGGTGCAGGACTTGGTTGATATATATATTTAGAGGTACTTACAGACATATCATGCATTAACATTTCACAAATAAATACTAGGGGGTGTGTATATATAAATTGTATTTCTTAAGAGTCACCAGGTTATAGTCATGCAAGAAATGCACACGATAGTAAATACAACCAATTGGCAATGGTAGTTTTGTACAGATGAATTCAACGATCAAATATAAAATGTGTAAAAACAAATGGAAAAATGGTTGTTTTTTTTGGTGTAAAAAAATGATGTGTGTTTCAAAATACAGTTATACATATTATACAATTTGTTCATGGTGTTTTTTTTCTGACATTATGCAAATTTAAAAATGCAAAACATGATTTCAACAATTGCACAGTTACGCACCAAATTAGAGAATGCAACTCACTTGTTATCATATTAATGCACATTTTCTTTTTATCAGTTGTTCAGAATAACTAATACATTGCCTTGGCACTCTAAGTTTTGTGTCAGACTTGCAACATCTGAAAATGCAGTATGAAGTTTGTCATGGTTTTAAATGAGAAAAAAGCACTCTGATAGGTCAATCTCGTCACATGATCTAAGAGATCACATGATTTCTATGTATCTCGTATATATACATACTTCAATTCTAAGGATATGTTTCAATACAAGAATAGTATTTTTTTCCCTCATTCTCTTCCATTTTAACTGCTAATTTCACATACAAATACAAAAATAGATCATATAAAGCCCTTGAAAGATGATTCAGTATGAGATCGCAAAATTGATTAACATTTAATTTAATTATTAAAGTGATATTTTTTAAAACTTAAAAAAAAAAAATCTGATTTAATTTTGCTACCACAGGCACATTCATGTTCACATATTGCTTCTGCCTATCCAACAGAAGAAAAATACTGAATCTACTCTACATGTAATACGATATATTCCATGTAATAAAAAATTATTGCAGATAAATACTTGTACACTTATCTACCTAATTAAGTACACGTTTTTCTATCACTTAGGCAGCAATAAGCAAACAACATGTAATGATAGGATTTCACAACACACCATATTATACAAGTCTGAGGATTTCAGTTTATACACAGAGTTACAAGATCTAACAAGGCAAGGGTCAAAAGCCTAGGATATATTACTTTTTACAAAATAACAGCTTTGCCATCTCCGAGTTGTGTGGCACCGATACGTTAATAATTTATACACTTAATCTACAGTGTATCACAACAAAAAATTTTAAATCCTGTCATATATATTACATATATCGTATAAGATCCTTTTGATGTTTAGGTAGTGACTGAAGACTTCACCAGTACTCTCACCATACTGCACAAGGCCAGCCCCTCTTCTTTTTTCTTCTGTGCCTTTCGTGTTCGATCTATGGCTTCAACATCATCTTCAACATCCCTGGCAGGGCGAGTAATCAGACATAGAAACCACACATAAATATATTAAATTTTTCAGGACTCGAAGTACCTATTCATCATATTGTATAACATTGGGTGTCGGTACGGGTCCTGCATAGGTATCTGGCTATCGGCGGCAGCAGCGGCCGCAGTATTGGGGCGTGGCACAAAGTCCCTGTCCTGACCCATCCCCGGGGTAGAGGAGTGGGTGAGCTTGGCTGAGGCTGCAGCAGCAGCAGCCGCATAGGGCTTGTCATTCATGAAGCTGTAGGGGCTGTTCTGGTGATAAAACCCCCTGGTGTAGTCTCTGTCAAACATGGCATGCTGTGAGGGTACTCCGTGAGTTAAGAACGGGCTGTTGGTGGTGTCTCCTACGTGCTGGGGGTGGTACACGGGGTCTCTACCATACATGTACTTGTCAAAGTTAAAAGATGGATTCATGGATCTGAACATGTCGGAGGAAGACGAAGGAGGAATTGTTCTGAAATCTCCCATTCCTGTGGCGGTCTGTCGGTACCTCTCATCAAACGTCTTCTGAGCGGTTTGAGAGGAGGATCTGGTGTAATCCAGGGGTGGTGCCCCAGGGTAGCCATGACTCCCAAAATAACCGAACTCAAATCCTGGGAAGGTCTCATGGGGGAGATCGGGTCTCTGCGTCTGTGGTAAGCCTGGGAACATGTTCCTCTCTGTCACTGTGCGTCTGGACGTGTCGAACATGAAATCTCTTCCAGGGAGGTAGTTATCTTTTGGAAAGAGAGGGTTAGTGGTGGACCCTGTCTGTCTCTGTAGATAAGACGCCTGACTCCAGTGTGGATGTCGAACATCTTGGGAAGTCCATGACGTATGGAACGGGTTACGAGCCATTGTTTGCGAGACTGCTGAAGGTGGTGGAAATATCTCTTCCCTGGAAGGAACCGTTGTTGGACGCCTGAGAAGAGATGCTGGGTTGTTAGCAGTTAAAGCAGAGTCAGCCATTCTGTGTAGGTTTTGTAAAGCATTGGGGTCACTTTGAGTGAGAAATGGAGTGGTCATCCTTTGCCGCTGCAGAATGGATTCACTCTCTGAAAATGCATACGATGAAGTAGTTGTAGGAGGGAAGAGAGATGGATTTTCTCTTGACCCAGGCAGGTAAGAGTTCATAACAGAAGACAAGCTATCGTACACGTTATCAGGTATCCGCTCTGATGAACGACTTGGGTTTTCAGATCTCTGTTGGAAGTGCTCCTCCTGTTGTCTATCGCAGGCCAAAATCTCCATTCTCTTATTAGACAAGTCAGCTCCCTTAGTATGCATGGAGTCTCTATCTGGAGTAGTGCTGAGATTTAAAGGTGGCACTGACGAACTCAAATTAAGGGGAGGCAACTCTTTATCCTGGGGTGATGTAGGAATGTTGATATGTTCTGGAGGTCGTTCTACAGATGGGTTGAGTCGGCTGTTGTCGTCTGACGACCTGCCCCCAGAATCAAACTGCTGGAGGTACTGTCCAAGATAATCCTTGTCTACCTCTGGCATGGCTGATTCTGACTGGGACCCGTACCCTGTATTGCTTTGAGACCCTGGTGGGGGGTTGCTAGCTACTGATGAGGGGTGCTCCACAGACCCTGTCTGTGGATAGCTGTTGCTGGGCACAGGATTAGAAATCTCCCTGTCCTCATTTTGGGAGTCAACAGAAAGATCTCTTTTAGCTGCTTCGACACTGGAGTATCCCTTAGAAGGTGGAGACATGACATCGTTCTTATTCTCATTGCTGCCATAGTTGGGAACACTGTCTGGTTGCACTGATTTTGGAGGAGTAGATTCATAATCTCTTGGGGTGGATTCATAATCCCTGCCAGGAAGACTCTGTACACTGTGGTTCTGTACCGACTTAGGTGGAGTTGACTCGAAATCTCGACCTGGAGTATCCATGTCTTCAGGTCCTGATTCAATATCTCCTTCATCGCTCTCCACTACCGGAGGGGGTCGAGGAGCAGGAGGGGGCTTCAAGTCGTCCTCAAAATCGGTATCGATCCCGCTACTCATCCTGTCACTCTCTGCCTCACTGGTCCTCTTCTCCTCCTCCTCTTTCGTGGATTTCGTTTCCACTGGTTCCTCCACCTTTTCCTCCACTTTTTCCTTTTCCTCCTCACTCACTTCCTTCTCTTCCTCCCTTTCCTTTTCCTTCTCCACTTCCTCTCTAGGTTCCTCCGGTTCTTCTGGTGACTTGGGTGAATCGGGGGTTTTACTTCCCCCTTCTTCATCATTGAAGCCCTCAATTTCTGTAGCTTCTCCATCATCTTCATTAGCAGTATTATGCTCCAACTCACTGTATATAATGGTATCTTCCTCTTCTGTCTCAGCATCTTCTCTCTTCTTCCCTCCCTTTGACCTCTTCTCTTCCACCTGTTTTTCCAGTTTCTTTTTGCGTACATATTTACGTTTTTTCTTCTGTGGCGAACTTGGCTCCTCTTCAGTTAACTCGTCGTGAGGTACAGGCAGTTTCTTCTTTTTGGGCCCACGTTTCTTGGGAACTTTCACAGCATCCTCAGGTGACTTTGCTTTATTTTTGGGTTTTGGACCTGAAAAAGATTTTCAAAATCTGCTTTAATCTTTGTATAGAATGTTAACCTCACCTAAATTTCATCACTTTACTCAAGAGCTTTTAACTCAAGTATTGAACTGTATATTGACCTGAAAAAGATATTCAAAATCTGCTTTGGATTTTGTATAAAATTTAAACAAGAGATGTTTGTAAAACATTTATGCCCCCCTCCCCGCCAAATTGGAATTTTTCTAAGTCCAAAAGGGCATAACTCTGTCAAAAATAGCTCAATCGTACCAAAAACAGAACTTGTCCTAGATAGTCATCAAATATATCTGTATACTAAATTTCATTTCAGTGTGTGCAACCTCTACGAAGAAAATGAACAGAAACTGCAAATAATTGGAAATTTTCGAAGTCCAAGGGGCATAACTCTGTCAAAAATGGCACAAACATACCCAAAACAGAAGTTGACCTAGATAATCATCTGATATATCTATATACAAACTTTTATTTCAGTATATGCAATGGTTGTGAAGAAAATGAATGGAAAATAAGTGGACCGACAGACAGCAGCAAAGCAATATGCCCCTCTTCGAAGGGGGGCATAATAATGTTATCCTTGCCAAAAATTTTATCACCTTAATCTGTGATTTTATTAAACCATCAGATCAGTTTTTAAAATCAAGTTTACATTTTCAAGGCTATCTAAATTTAATTCTCTGGTTCTCAGGCCAGTTTTCTCTAAAACAGATGCGGGAGGGTGGCATTTTATTTATCGTTTTATTGGCAATAAAGTTGATGAGGGAGGTATTTTTTTAATTTGAGTTTTTGAATTTTCTTTAAAATAAAGTTATTTTTTTTTATTCACAGATATACTTTCCATTTCTGTTCAAATGGGTTTGCTTTATCCATAGCTTATCAGCGTGTGAACATCATAGGCAATGTCTTTGAAAGTATTCTCAAACGAAGTAGTCAAATTCTCTTTGCAAATGGCTACTGGAAGTGATATTTGAGTACTAAACTACGAAAAAATTAGGACGGAACTTTTTTTTCCGGATTGATCTCCGCAATACCAACTTTTTATTTTATCAAAAATACAATAAGATTAGCAATGCGGCTACCTCAAAATGGATGCGCGCGGGCCTGAGAACCAGAATTTCAATTTTAGGTAGCCCAAATACTTTTTTAAAAAACTGTAAAATTCAGTCTTACCCTTGAATTTACATTCCCATGAATAATTAATTTGTCAACAAATTGATTCATTGATTCTTTTGGATTAATGTGTAACCAACAAAATTAGGCCCAAGAAACACATAAAATGCTGTTTGCTAATGAAAATTGATTCCCATGAATTGAGATAGTTTAACAGTACCTGGTTTCTTCCTTGGAGGTTTGACAGGCACTTGTTCCGAGTCTTTTTTATCAGCAGCAGTTTCTGTTGTCTCAGCTACAAAAAATAACATTTTATTACTACCACTCTGAGTAAAAATTTTTAAAGACTTATTGTTTAAATTCCTTTAGTTTATGTACTTTTTGAAACTATAAACTTTGAATACTTTTTCTCTCATTTCCCCAACATAAACATTTTTTAAAAAAAGTTCAATGGTCACAAGAACTCTTACCTCTCGAAAAATAATTGTCAAAAATATTAAGGACAAATTGCTAAATTTGCGTCTCACTAAAATTTACACTTATACGGTAATGTGGCATCTAAACTGTTAAAATTCAATACTCATTAACACAGCAACATACCTTCCTCAGGTTTCGGTTTGGGTTTTCTCCCTCTCTTGCCTTTAGGTTTGACCGGTTTCTCTTTCTTAGAGTCCTTGGTTTCCTCTGGTTTAGCACTCTCCTCCTTGTTCGGTTTTGATGGTGATGCGGTTTCAGCATCTTTAACCTTTTTCTTCCTCCCCGGTGTTTTCTTCGGTTTCTTGGTTTTGGCAGTGGTTTTAGCTGGTTCCTCTCCTTCTTCATCATTCTCTTCCTTTCTGGTTTTAGATTCTTTCTCTTTTTGATCTTCGGTTTCTTTTTTGTCTGTCTGAGTATCAATATCACTGAGTTTGTCCTCATCAAAGTCTAAACTCTTTGAAGTCCTGTCTAAAAGATCAGATTTGGGTGTGTGCGACAAATACGAAGGCTTCTCGTGCCGAATTGGCGTAGACGTTTTATCCTGTCGTAAAGGCAATAACACCGAGTCATCATCAAACTCTTCGTCCGACCGAAACTCGTACAAGTCCATCGCAGGATTTACAGGTTTGGGTTTAGGAGTCAGTGGTTTTGAGTCGAAACTATTTTCCATCTTCTCCACCGAATCTTTCTGGTTCTCCTTGAACTCTTGAGATAACACGCTCAGTTTGCTGTCATTTGGCGTTGATGCCATGTTTTTCCCATCCCCTTGCTTCTTGGGTTTCTTTGGTTTGGGTGCGATTCCGTGGAACTTGTGTAGATGGTACTGTAGTGAGCTTTTCTGGCGGCACGTGAAGCTGCACAGCTCACAGGCCACGGGTTTCTCATTGGTGTGCTGCCTCATGTGAACCTTCAGGTTGTCTGCATGTCTGAAAGCCTTCCCACACACCGAGCAACCAAACTTACGCTCACCTACAACACAGTAGGGATATGTAAAATGGGTGTAGATCAATTATAAATAGATGTGGGTCTAAAAAAATATAGGCATGGATCTAAAATAATATAGGTGTGGATCTAACATAAAATATCAAATAGGGGTTGAGCAACATAAAATTTAAGTATGCATCAAACATAATCATTATGCACAGCATGAAGAAAGCAAATGCTTTGAAATTCAATCATTGTGCATATCTCTGAGAAAATCTCTGCACACTTATAATTAGTAGCAAACCTTTTTTGGTTAAAAGAGAGGTAATATTTAGCATGTTGAGAGGTACATTGTATGCTAATTGCGAAATTTCTTAAGTGAATGAAAGTAGAGCAATGCTTACTTTTTTATTTATAACCTCAATTTTTTTTTATGTTTATAATATCTTTTTTACTAACCTGTATGGGAAATTTTGTGTCTTTGCAAATGACTCCTTTTAAAGAAAGTGAATTTGCAGCCCTCAAAATCACACGGAAATTTTTTATCAGTTAAATTATGATATTCCTCCATGTGATTTTTCAAGAGTTTTTTGGATCTGAAGTCTTTCGTACAATCATTGATATTGCACTTAAATGGACGAGCAGGGTCGTGTACGATCACGTGACCCCTTAAAGCTGCCGATGTTTTAAAACGTTTAGGACACTGGGGGCACAGATAATTCCTCACGTCTGAGTGAAACTTCAAATGCCGTTTTAAATTGTCCTCTGTGTGAAATTTCTTCTCACAGTTTTCAAACGTACATGGAAACTCCTGTTTCACACGTTCCGTGTTGTGAATATTTTTCAAATGCTTTTTGAGATTGGCTTTGTAGTTTGATTTGTATGTACACTGTGGGCAGTTGAAGCGTTTGGGGGCGTCTGGGTCATGACGGATAATATGAGATTTTAATGAAGACTCGTACTTGAATTCCTTCTCACAGAATTTACACTTAAATGGCACAGGTCCCGTACATTCGTCCATATGTTTTTCTAACGATATCTCATGGCAGCGAATATACCGACTACACTTTCGACAAAGTTTATAATCGGCACGATCTTTATGTTCCTGAAACACATGTTCCTTGAGAACTTCCTTAGAGTCATAAATCAGATTGCATCGCAGACAGACGTATATCCCATGGGTCCTTAGATGCCTCCCCAGCATGGCTCGCTTGGGTGTGGCATACTCACAGTGTTCACACTTAAACGTAGTGTCTGGGCTCTGTTTTTTCATCAGAGTTTCAATGTTTATTGATTTTTTGGGACCCGCTCCTTCAGGTTTTGAGTCTGTCGTTTGCTTCTCCACGTTTTCTTCCTCATCTCCAGATAAGTCAAAACTGGAATCCAAGTGATCCTTCTCTTCCCTTGACTCATTCTCCTCATCCTCCTTATTTTCTTTTACTTCATCATTACTTAGTTTTTCTTGATCAACACGCATTTCATCTTTTTCCTCCTTTTTCTCCGTTTCATCTAGACTTTCTTTCTTTTCCTTTTCCTCAACCTCCGCGGATTTTCCACTTTCCATGGATTTTCCACTCTCTGTAGACTTTTCGGCCACAATGTCTGATCTAGGAATTTCCACACACCTTCTGATGTGTCGAGTGTTGGCACTCTTGCTCCGTGATATATGTCCACACAGAGGACAATACATTATCACTTGCTCCTTTTTCACCTCCGTTTCTGATCCTTCCTCATTTTCCTCCTCTCCTTCCCCTGTAATATTTTCCCCGTTTTCTTTACCTTCCACACTTTTCTCCACTTTCTTCTTTGGCGGCCGCTTTTTCTTTGGAGGTTTTTTCACCTCTGATGTAGCACTATCTTTCTCACCATTGTCCTTATCTTTCACACTCTCCACTTTCTTTTTCTTCACTAATTTCTTTTTCTTTGGAGGACTGTCTTTGTCTTTTTCCACTTTTTCTATTTCATTAGGCACTACTACATTGTCACTGTTAATTTCAGTTTTAACTTTTTTTAATCCTTTAGTCTTTTTTGGCTTAGGAATAAGATCATCAGTGATCATAGAATCATTGTCATTTTCCCTATTCCCATGTTCACTATTCAACTCCACCTTCTTCCACTTTTTTGGTGGAGGTTTTGGTTTTGCCACCTCCACCTTTTCAGGTACGTCTACATCAAAATCAAAACGTTCATCTTCAAATTCATCATCCTCATCCTCATTGAAGTTAATTTTCCTCTTCCTCACAGCTCTGGGGGACCTCTTACGACTTGGGCTGCCATCCTCCATGCTATGAAACTGCTCATCGTCACTGTGATATTTACGATTCCTTTTGGGTGTCCTTTTAGATGCTCTTGGAGACACAGATGCTCCACTTTCGTCTGTCTTGCTGATGTCCCCAAAAGATGAATCAACAGCACTCACATCTTCATTTTCCTCCTCAGTTTTTGCTTTCTTTTTTCCTTTCACAGTCTTATTTTTGATAATTTTACCTTCATGAGCATTCTTGTTGATTTTCTTTTTCACGGGCACCTTTTTTACTTTCTCTTTTGGAGACTTTTTATCGACACGGTCAATCGGTGCCTTCTTTTTCACAGGTTTTGGGGCCTTCCTTTTCTCCACTTTTGAGGGCGTAGATTTTTTGGTCTCTGGCACTGAATCTTCAGCATCACTTTTCTTTTCATCCACATCCATCCCATTTTCCGTCGTCTGGTGTGGTGAGAGTGGAGGATCATGGGTAGAAATTCCTGAGTTGTCAAGGTCACTGAGTTTTGCGTCCGATGAGATGTAAGAGTCGGTAGGGATAGAGGACAGAGAGGAAGAAAACGAGGAATCTTTGTCATCGGCTTGATTTTTGGGTTCATTGCTGGAGAGAGGGAAGGGCTTATTGGCCACTTCTGTTATAGTAACTGTCCCTGTTGTCAGGGAAACTTCAGTTTTATAACTCTCGGTTTGACAGTTGATGACAGTTTTCTCTACACTAAAGTCTTGGGTCACATGATTGTCACATGACCCACTTGGACGGTCTTCACACTTCCTGGCATTTTCCTCTTCTTCTCGCAAACTGACAGCAGCTGAATGAATCGCAGCAAATTTGGCAGCATCATTAAGCTGTCTGATTGCTGAATCTCGAATGCGTGGCTTATCAATTCGCTTTGGTTCTTTATATGTTCTCATGTCTCCTGCTTTCCTTATCCCATCATGCAATGCAGTGACTCTGACAATCTGTCTCCCTCAACTGTAAAAAAAAAAATTAATTTAATAAATGACAATTTCTTCATTTTTTCTATTTAGGGCAGATTTAAAGTAACTTATATGTAAAAGAAATGCATTTCTTTGCAATGGCTGACACCTATTTCATAAAAGGAAAGATAACTCCTTAAAATTAAAACATGACAAACTTGTATGTATTCATCATGTTCATGTTGAGAAAAAAATCGGTTAACAACAAACTTATTGCAATTTTCTTCACTGATAAAAATCAACGATTGTACATTTTATCAATGGCATATATATATATTTATTAATTAGTCAGTCTCCTTGAAAGATACTTTTAAGGTACTACAAACCAACCTTTTTCATTTCAAACTTGGAACCTTGAATATAATCATGGTAATTTTGGGTTCTGGTCATTCATCTCTATCCTACAATAGAAAATATATTATTATGATAAAAGAAAGTTCTTTTCTGCTCTATTCAAGATGAGGTACAATCAAGAGAAACAATTTTAGCTCTTGTGGCAGGATTCTAACAACACTTTTCATGGCCCAGAGATGTTTTATATGATTATTTTACAAACAGAAATACTGTAAATTTATCTTGGAATACAGTTGGCATCTTTTCATTTAGGTATATTTTTCTATGTATAGATTATATATGCTGACAGAATAGGTGGTTTAAATGGTGTCTTTAATATGTAAGTTCATTCTTATCCATGCATCTTTTTTACCGTCTAACGTCAATATTTCAAACTCACAGGGATCCAAGAACTTCATATCTATCAAAGGCTTTGTGATATTAAGGGTAAAATACTTTAAAATCAATGTTTAAGACTTCCAGATCACTTTGACATATCTATGGTATTTGAGTTACCGCAGAAGTACTTTTTACCGTATGGTATTAATTTACGCTATGTACGCGGTCACAAATTTTCAGTGAAAATTTATCCAAGCGTACTTAATATAAATGTAAGGCATATAGTGACAGTCTAAGAAATCCGCATAATTTTCTACTCACGGATTAAACAGAAATTGAGCTTCAGCAGAATTTTGACCCCAAGGAAAAAAGTATGTCTACAGTATAACAGGTATTAGTGTTCAAGATACTGAAGCTCAACTGTATTTTTTTAAAAATATCAACTTTCAATTTATATTCAACATGAATTACTTAAATAATCAACATTTTGTGCTAGGCTAACATTATTATTGAACTTAAATAAAAAAAATTGACACGCTGCATCCCGAAGCCCTCCCAAGATCACTTAAGCATTCTCTATTCTCCAAGTTTCACACTTCATCAGGCATGTCAACATGCCTCCTTATTGTTAAAATATTTATCTAGAACAGTAATATTTTGACGACCAGATTTTCTTTTTCTTGTGAAACTTCGCAGCCCTAGCAAAGTTATCAGACCAGAAAACAAGATGATGCACATCATAAGTATGCATTCAGTTAACTGTATCATATCCATAATCATAAATTTCTTGGTCGATATTCGAGTTCGAGTAAACATGGATAATTAGTTTTCGAGAGCATCAATGACATAAATTCAGAGAGTGCACACGGAATGCAGGTCGCCCGGTTATCTTTCTGAGTTCATTGTTATTGGTACTACAACGGCATAAAAGCTATCAGTTGCAAAATAACAAATATTTTCTCATTAATACAACAGACATACCTTCTCCAAACGGCTAAATATAGCAAATTCTGGAGTGCATAAACTGAAAATCTTTTCCTTCATTGGTCAAGAAGTCTTGAAGGTTGACCAATGAAATTGTTCAATACAAAACATGAAAATGATTAAGTTGTTCTTAGTATATGTCGGATAATCATTCTTCAGATCATGAGAGAGGAATAGTTTATATCTCAAAACAAGCATAGAAGAATCATGAGGTATCATTCTCTTTTTCATAAATCAAGTGTTCATTGATCTTTCAGTGGAGAAGGAGTATGAAAAGTAAAACCCACAAATTATCCCTTATTTCACTTTGCAAAAATGAAAAAGAGCATTGTTATTTCTCAACAATCAGCAAAGTTTTTTTTTTATAGGTATGTTTTAAATGCATAACTAAATAAATTATATTTTCATTTAACAAGCTGGCCTATCTAACTAACTAACCCCCCCCCCCCACCTCACCCCCGCAATACTTTTCATAAATTATAAACTGTCAATTATTGAAATTGAAATGTTTAATCATTGCAATGAAAGCTAAGTATAATCAATCCATTCATTACAGAAAACGCGCGTTCTGTGTGAATAACTTTCTTATATTGTAAACATCAAGACATTCAAGCCGGTGAATACCGTACAGAGCCTTGAAATTTGATTGGTTGTTAAATTTACTCAACCAATCAAATTCATTAGTAGACCGAGCTTCATGGCGCCAACTTGGAAGAGGGAAATCGACATCGAGAAAACTGTCATTGATTTACACTGCCGAATGAATGGAAATACGAAAGAGATAAATCGAGATATTCGTCCAGTAAGTATTTTAATTTGTTTATGTTTATTATTGTGCCCCGATTGCCTTTATTTGCAGCAATGTTGGTGTGTAAAAAATTGTTGACAATCCGATTACCAGCTGGTCAACAGTCATTGACGTTCCTTCATTGTGTGGATGAGGTTGAGATATAATCATACCGCGTGACGTCTTTCCATTGTATTTGATGGTGGATTTATGCTCTTGTGTTTTTATTAGGCCCAATGAAGGTGCAATATCTTTTAATTAAAATTCGGTGGAATGTTGAAATTTGGTTTTTCGTGTCACCCTAACTCGTTGTAGGAATGTTTACTATACACCGTGAATGGTTGGTATATTTGGGCATTGTTTATTACAGGTAGTATATGTACATCTTTGGCGAATCAGTGTGTGTTCGGGTATATAGCTGTGAGATTGAACAGAGCTCTTGTATACACAGGTGTCAAGTTTATATTAAATTGAGTAAATTGAACAAGCTAAAGTATTTTTCAGATTGAAAAGAAAAAATCACTTATTTCATGTATTTATTTATATTTGAACATCTGAATGATCAAATAAAAAAGTGCAACCTAAATTTCACTCGAGATGCTAAAAGGTAAGATTTGATATAAAGGTGCTTGTTTATTTTCATATTCAGATGCAAGAAAAAAAAATTAATACATCCATTAACATCATTGAACATGTCATCATACTTGTATACATTGAATAAAATGTGTTTTAGTAATTGTCATTTTTCATCTTTGTTTCTATTAGAATTGTTGATTTTTTACTTGACAAAGATGGTAATTCATTAAATTTCTATTTTCTCCTTGTATAAGGTGAAAAAAATGCTCCAGGGCAATGTAGTACTCTAATGAGTTTGACTATATAATTTAATAGCAAACACAATGTATAGATTATGTATTACATAAATGAACTTCTTGTATCACTGTGATTGATAAACAAACATTATATGTTGTTTTTGACACCCCTGAGGGGCCAAAATAAGTGTTGCATGGAGTAATTATATGACTCTCTGACTTAATTGATAACCTGTTAAAATCTGAGCAATTAAAAAAATTTCTCACCACAGAGCTACAGTACCATGTCCTTTTTTTATCCCATTATTTTATAGTTGATAATTCAAAGTGAGGAGTTCTTATTTTTGCATGGAGCATATTTTGACTATTCTGTAAGAATTTTTAAATTCTTTTTTCTAACTTTATTTTTATGACTGTTTCATTCAAAATAGTATAATACTATTGTTTAAAAATTAAGGAACAATTTTTGTCAATGATTTAAAACAATGATTCTTCTACATTTTTATTTGTAGACTTTGGCATTTTTTGATTTTCAACTTTCTAAAAAGTATAGCTTTAAGTTAACTTACTAAACATGCTAAAGTTAGCATGTGTGCAATGCATGTGTTGGTCCATAAGAAAAGCTACTAAGATTCATTTTCATGCAAAATAAAGTAAAGTCACTCGTATTCTTACTTTTCATTCTGCCTTTTTTATTGCAGGTTGAATGTCCTTGATTGTTACTGCGGATAAGTTGTCCCAAAACTTGGCAAGATGAATCCTTTACCAGAAGGGTCTTTTGACAGCGGTTACTTTTCGCCTTCCCACATCCAGATCAAGGTCGAGCCCATGAGTCCCACTCATCTCCCAATGTTGAACTCTGACCTTAATGTGAGCCCGCTCAAAACGGACGTCTCGGGAATGGATGTGGAAAGACCACTGGAGGATGTCAGTATTTCAGGGGATTGGGAAAAGGACTTCTTTTCAAATTTTGAAGACAATTTGTTCAATTTTGACTTTGACGACAAAGCATTGAATGATATTCTTGTGTCACCCAAAGGAAAGGAGGCCTTGAATGACTTGATGAAATCTCCAAAAGGAAAAGCCATTATGAACTCTCCTAAAGGGAAAATGTTGCAAAATAGATTTAAGTTGTTTGATACACCTGAGAATGTGAAATTAAAAAGGACAAATAGTTCTGGGTTCGATACCAGTCCTAATGTGTTGTCGCCATGTGACCCAAACAAGATGTCGGCCACACCTGGGCCATACTGTGTAGATTCAAGATCTGCATTGAAAATGTCACGGAGAAAACTAACAATGGTGTTGTCTGGAAAAGAGGACAGGGAACCAGTCAAGAAAGTCTGTGTGCAACCTCTCACTTGTGTGCAACCATGTAAAACGCAACCCACAAAACTCATTCCAATAGCACCAAAGTTATCACAGGAAAATTGCGAGTTGTGGCCCACCAAGGAAAAGCTGAAGTATGCCAGGGATCAGTTTAAGCGTACACTGGAACTAGCCGTGGAGGCCTCGCGACTACAGAGACAGGTGAAGCAGGAACCAGTGGCACCTCGCTCCCCGCAAAGAAAACGTAAAAGGGGTTCCCAGAAGGGGGAGAAATATCCCGAGCTGAAACAAGCCCTGAATCAGCGGCCACAGAAATCGAGTTCACGGAATCGAATGCCGAGCATAAAACTACGAGAGAGCAAAGAGACAGAAATTGAGATCAAGAAAGAGTTATCTGCCCCTGCATTGCCGTTTTACCCGGACTATGAAGAAGACATCGATTACAATGACGATGACGACGATGATTATGACAATTTTTACGGAAACTATGTGCCGTTCACCGGACTTAAGCAAGCCAAGAAGAAAAAGAAAATTAAGCAGAGTTTGTATTGAGTGATCGACTTGATTTGATGTTGTACGCGGAGGCTGAAATTTATTTGACAATATAATGGCAGAATGTTGCTTCTCGTCGTTTTAAAATTTTAGGCTTATAAGTTCATGTTTGTGAAAGTCAAAGATCTGTGTTGTGTAAATTGCAAGTGTAGTCCAGACTTGGTGATGCTAAAAATGCCATTTAAGTAATTTGTCAGGATTACATTGTTCAATGGGTAGGTTGTATAGTCATATGACAGTCTTGGAGATGTCAACATCTCTTAAAATTGTGTCTGTGTATACTTTATACTATGTAACATTTAATTCCAGTGTTATATAATGTAAATTTATTTGAAAAAGAAACTCAGCTATGTTGATGTATGTGATTATAATATACCCCAAGTATATTCAGATGTATGCAATGTAAAAACTTTAGTAAAATATAGGCCTATTTAAACATATAAGAATATACTAATATTTTATGCAGTCTTGTATATACACATCTTATCATACAAAAATCATGCAATATTTACTTAAGAAGTCATTTGGGTGCAGAGCTATAATTAGAAACTGATATTAATTCCGAGTCATATAAATGTTTGCAAAGATGTATAGATATTTCTTCGAAACTCAATTTCTGACGTGCACAATTCATTGCCTCTAAATAGGATCAATTGTTTTTCATATTTTCAATATTGAAAATTTTATGTGCTGCACTTTTCTTGTGACCTGGGAATACATGTAACAGTTTGGTTCACACGGTTAGCTTTCACTATCTGATTATTCATGTGTGTGTGTATAGTTTGTACAATATAGCTCAAACTTTGTTTTCATCTCAATGTATCACCGAGTTGTACCCAATTGTCTATTAAATTGGTGGACTTTTTGAACAGTCAAAGACTTGCATGTGGACAGGTTCTTTTTCCTTCTAGTGCTTTATTTCGAAGAGGTCGGACATTTTAATATTCATCTGTTGTTTTTCCCTCATTGTGATATGTTGTTTACATTCGGTCAGATTGTTGGAGAATAAGAAACAAACCAGATTTTCTGATCATTTTCAGGAAAATACTATAAATAGGACCAGCATTGTTGTTAATGTTTTGTTTCTATTTTTTTCACTAGGATATATGTGTGTATTTATTTATTATTTATATCTTTATATGTTCTGATTTAGAAAGTAATGATTTCATCAAATATCAGAGATGTTATTTTAATTTGCAATGATATCAAAGCATTTGATTTAATGAAATGTAAAATTTAGAGTTCAATAGTATTGTAATTTAAAAGTGAATGTCCATCAACTTAACAACTATAGTTTTGAAAAAAAAATTATGTGATAATTTACTTTTCTTGCATTACAAAATATTCTGCAAAAATTTGCTACGGGTAAATGAAAAAATATGATTCTTTTGAAGCATGATGTACATATACGGCTACAGTAGGCTACATGTAAACGCACATGTATTATCATGAAAAACAATTCAATGCTGTGTTAACTGGAGAAAATGTAGTCAAATAAAGCTTTTGAATACTGTGTTTGTTTGATTTGAATAGTTCTGCCTGTGTATAAGAAACAGAAATTTTTTTTAGCTGTATATGGCGGAGGTCAAGGTTTCGCCAAAGGTCAACATGTCCAAAATTATTTTTACAACAGCTCTTAAACTATGTGGTTTATAAAGTTAAAACTGTTACAGTGTACAAATATATCATTGATTAATAGATAGAGCTATTGTAAAAATAAATTTTTGGACAGCTTGACCTTTGACAAAACCTTAAATTAGTGTGGCTCCTATGGCTCAGCTATTAAAACCAATGGTCAGGAAGTAAATAGTAAAACTTTATATTGAAATTTTGTTTCCCGTTGTATTGGGGTAAGGACGGGTCTGGTTGTCCCTTTTTTCCATGCAGAAATATTTTGCCGTCAATTTTGGAATATTTCATTTTTAGCCAGCTACTGGGCAATTTTGTTACAGTATGATTACGAGGGGTTATCAAAAAGTTCGTGGACTAGCGTCATGAAATTAAAATCGCTTTAAGCACATCAATGAATTTTAAAATATCTAGTAAGCATCAAGTTTTCTATCTAAAGAATAAACCATAAATTTTATTTTTTAATAAATTAGTGATGTTTTAGTGAGCAATGGTATGTCCAGGCGGCGCAACCTCGAACACGATGTTTTTGCGAACTATGTGTAACTGAGAAAAACTCTTTTGATATGGTCATTTGACATCCAAAAATCCCATTAAAACAGGTATGTGTCTGGACACAGTTGTTCCATAAAATACGAAATTTTCACTTCATTCTGGAAGTTTTATGAAATTTTATCGCAAATTTTACACAGAATGTCCAAACAAATGAGGCCTTGAAAATGACGTCAAAAGGGGGGTGGGGTTTCCGTTTCCAACATTCTATAAAGTTTTGCCCCTGAAAAAAACTGGAATAGACCTAAAATATGTTGAAACTAGCTACAGAGAAATAAAATGCATCCAGAGTACTTGTCTTTCAATGTCAAAATAGATTCGGAGAGAAAAGGGATACACAGTTGATGTCGATGTGCAGTCAAGGTGTGAAAAATCAATCACGTCAAATAATGACGTTGATCATGCGTTGTAGATATTGAACTCCCAAAAGCAAAATATGCCGGCACAATCAAACACGGATCTCTCCCAATGTATTAATCCGTTTGGAATATTAAATTCATTGAAGGCCACTGTTCATGACATTGTAAAGTCATATAAACAAGGCGGGTTTACGCCCTTTCTTAGCTCCAGGGTTTCTCATCAAGAAAGTGTATGAGGTAGAAGAAGCGGACAATGAAAAAACAATGACGTTATCGGACGTCATGAAAATAAACGGCGACAGCGCCGGGTGATCATATATTGTCGTTTTCATTTTATAATAATTTGGAAAATAATGAACGTATCAGGCTAAAATTTTCAAAATTTCTTTATATTTTGTTGTTTTATGTTCCATATAAATTTTGAAAGCACAGACTACATAGTACTAATTTTATAGCCTCAGTCCACGAACTTTTTGATAACCCCTCGTATATCATATCAGATATAAATTCTAACATTTGTTTTCAACAATACTACTCACTTTATTTGAGTAACATTAAAACAATGCAATAGTGCAGACAAGTATTCAAAATTAGAAACGTATTCAAACACCAAAATACTGGGGTATTCTACTGATAAAGTCATTGCCTCCCCTTCATTCTTAAACTTTAATAATATTCTACTTGTAACTATGTAGGGCTAATGATGAACATCATCAAATTTGTTAAATACTAGTATAAGGTTTAGTACTATTCAATTTCTTTATTGAATCAACATTCATCATCTATCATTCAAATCATACAAATATATAAAAGAATATGAAAATATATTTCAACAAAAGTATTTTTTGTACATCAAGGTTAAAAACACCAATCAACATGTCCTGATGTTAAGATAGAATGTTAAGCTTAACAAAAATGTTAATAAACTTACAGATCTAAGTTCATATTACTGTCTTAGTAAAAAGTTTGATACATAAATATCTACATTGCATAGAACCATATTATTTAAACATCTTCATGATGTCAACTTTCCTTGTGTTTTTGATGAAGCTCTTCTGCCTCTTTGCGAAGCGCATAGAGTTTTTCTTGAAGAATGTCTGTGAAATGTTTCCTGAGTTCAGTCTGAAAAACATAGGTAATCAGAGATTACAGAGCTCACCTCAACGAATGTTGTCTTTAAGTAAGGCAAAGTCAAACAATTAACCAACAAAAAGTGTACATTCCAAAAATGAAAATATTTAAGCAATTTTGATCTGATACTTTGAACAGACCTACATAAAAAATTTAAACTAGTTCTTCTTCATGAAAATGTAATTAAAATCCAGAATCTGAAGCAAATTTGAGAGTTTTCATCTCTTGATGCAACGTTTGTGCAAGTTTGGTTTATACAATGTTATGTAAGCCTTATAGTTTTTTGGTATTAGACTTGCACTCATAACTTTTACCTGGTCTATTATCTGAAAAATGCATGTCGAATTCAGCATTTGAAGCAAGTCCATTAGTTTGCATCCTAAGATTTATCGTCCATGCAAGTTTGCTCATTATAGGGCTCATAGTTAATTGGAAATGAAACATGCATCAAAAACTAACATTTTTACTCATCCACAAAAAGTAGGTCAGATTCAGCATCTGAAGCAAGCCTGGTAGTATGCATCCTTATATGTATTATCCATGCAAGTTTGGTCATTAAAGATGTCATAGTTGCTTTGAAATGAATCATGCACCAAAAACTTTAACCTGTTCACTCAACCGGAAAAGTAGGTCAGATTCAGCATCTGAAGCAAGCCCGATAGTATGTCCATCCTTATATGTATCATCCACGCAAGTTTGGTCATTAAAGAATCATAGATACTTGGAAATGAATCATGCATTAACTTTAACCTATTCACTCAACGGGAAAATGTAGGTCAGATTCAGCATCCGAAGCAAGCCTGGTAGTATGCATCCTTAGATGTATCATCCATGCAAGTTTGGTCAACATAGGGCTTATAGTTACTTGGGAAAGAAACATCCACCAAAAACTTTAACCTGTTCACTCAACTGGAAAATGTAGGTCAGATTCAGCATCTGAAGCAAGCCCGATAGTATGCATCCTTAGATGTATCATCCATGCAAGTTTGGTCAACATAGGGCTTATAGTTACTTGGAAATGAAACCTGCACCAAAAACTTTAACCTGTTCACTCAACTGGAAAAGTAGGTCAGATTCAGCATCTCAAGCAAGCCCGATAGTATGCATCCTTAGATGTATCATCCATGCAAGTTTGGTCAACATAGGTCTTATAGTTACTTGGAAATGAAACCTGCACCAAAAACTTTAACCTGTTCACTCAACTGAAAAAGTAGGTCAGATTCAGCATCCGAAGCAAGACCAATAGTATGCATCCTTAGATGTATCATCCATGCAAGTTTGGTCAACATAGGTCTTATAGTTACTTGGAAATGAAACCTGCACCAAAAACTTTAACCTGTTCACTCAACCGGAAAATGTAGGTCAGATTCAGCATCCGAAGCAAGCCCGATAGTATGCATCCTTAGATGTATCATCCATGCAAGTTTGGTCAACATAGGGCTTATAGTTACTTGGAAATGAAACCTACACCAAAAACTGCACCAAAAATGTTAACCTGCTCCAAAAACATTAACCTGGTCATTCCTTTGCTGAAATTGCAGCATCTGAAACTTTGAATGGTGCAATGAAACACACTAGAACCATCCTCCATGCATGTCTTATCCATATAGGACATAGAAGTAGTTAAAAAGAAAACTGCTCCAAAAAACTTAACCTGGGACACCAACGCCGACGCCGAGGGTATTACATAAGCTCCCCCAACTTCGTTGAGGTGAGCTAAAAATAATCATTGTGTTAATCATGTATCTCAAATTATAAGTTAAACTACAATGTACCTATTAAGTCAAAATTCTACAAAAGTTTTGTGCCAGTCAAAACTAAACTTTACCTAGATAGTCATCTGATAAATCAGTATACTAAATTTCATTTCAGTATGTGCAACCTCTGCGAAGAAAATGAACGGAAACTGCACATAATTGGAATTTTTCTAAGTCCAAGGGGCATAACTCTGTCAAAAAATGGCACGATCGTACCCAAAACCAAAGTTGACCTAGATAATCATCTGATATATCTGTATAATAAATTTCATTTTAGTATGTGCAACCTCTGCGAAGAAAATGAATGGAAACTGCAAATAATTGGAATTTTTCTAAGTCTAAGGGGCATAACTCTGTCAAACATAGGTAATCACAGATTACGAAGCTCACCTCGACGAAAGTTATCAGTTTAGGTAATGCAAATCTCACATCATATTTTCTTAACAGTTGCTTTTTATTCTGACAATAATATTCAAGCAAGTTCTGTTGAAATAGGTTTTAAAATTCATTAGGGGTTGTTTTGTTCCAAAAACTTTAACCTCGTCACTCGTTTGGAAAATGTGGGTCAGATCCAGCATCCGAAGCAAGTTTCAATTGTCCATCCTTAGATGCATCATCCATGCAAGTTTGGTCAGGGTAGGGCTTATAGTTACTTGGGAATAATCTAGTCACTAATCTGGTAAATGTAGGTCAGATCCAGCATCCGAGCAAGTCTGGTAGTGTCAATTCCTAGATGCATTATCCATGCAAGTTTGGTCCGGGTAGGGCCTATAGTTAATTGGGAATAATCTAGTCAATAATCTGGTAAATGTAGGTCAGATCCAGCATCCGAAGCAAGTCTGGTAGTGTCCATCTCTAGATGCATCATCCATGCAAGTTTGGTTCAGTAGTTACTTGGGAATGGACTTGCTCCTAAAACTTTAACCAGGACGCCGACTCTAACGCCGACACCGGGGGTATAGCATAAGCTCATCTCGACTTCGTCAAGGTGAGCTAGAAATGGTGCGACCGCACCCAAAACCGAAATTGACATAGATATTCATCTGATATATCTGTATACTGAATTTCATTTCAGTATGTGCAACCTCTCCGAAGAAAATGAACAGAAACTGCAAATAATTGGAATTTTTCTAAGTCCAAGGGGCATAAATCTGCAAAGAAAATGAATGGAAACTGCAAATAATTGGAAGTTTTCTAAGTCCAAGGGGCATAACTCTGTCAAAAATGGTGCGACTGCACCCAAAACCAAACTTGACCTTATAGATATTTATCTGATCAATTTGTATACTAAATTTCATTTCAGTATGTGCAACCCCTGCAAAGAAAATGAATGGAAACTAAGTGGACCGACAGCAGCAAAGCAATATGCCCTCCCTTCTTCGAAGGGGGGCATATCAATGAAATATGAGTAGATTTTAAAAAGCACTTGCAATCCAAGTTTTTTTTTAGTCATTTTACAAGTCTTTAAAAGTATGTTATTCCCCTTTGTATGAATGTTCAAAGAAATGATAAGGATATCCATAAACTACATGACCTGTATCATACTTCATGTTGTCATGTGTGTGAAGACTTTATGAATTACTGTGCATATGTGAAGCATTGTTATTTACTTACTGCAGTCATCTTGTGTCGTAAGCGTTCTATCTCCTCTGAGAAGTCTATAGGAGTTCCCACTAAAATAGTGATTTTCTGGAAAATAAAGTATCTAATATTTAAAATTTTTCAAAATTTTTTTTCAATTTCAAATTTCTCAACCTCTTAACTATGGTGTCATATATTTTAAACACAGTGTTAAGAAAAGACAAAGGTAAATGGAAAAATCATAAGAATTTTCAAATTTAAAAGAAAAAATCAACATTTTGTAGACAGAAATGGAATATATTTCACTCGTAAGCTAGATTTACTTATATTTTTATTCGTGCTTCCCACACTCAGGAAATCTTGTCCTACTTGTGAAATAAACTAAATGGCCTAACTACAAAACCTCAAAACATTGAATATCCTCCATTTACTCGTACTTTTTATTTGATAAGGGTATCACTCATATAAATTGCTTAATCCAGATTATTTGCATCCCAATTTATATTGTACCGCAAAAGTAGAATTTTTAGTGAGGATTCAATTTTGGCATTATTAGCTTTGATTCTCAGATCGCTAAAATTGGATATCACTAGCAATTTATTCTGTATCAGCTGTTATAGCTATCTCCCTTGACATTATAAAATCACTCAAATTACTTAAGGAATGAAGCTTATTTCAACTTATGTTATATGATATAACATAACTTGGGGCAGTTTACACTTTATAAACCGTGAAGCGGTTTATAAAAGAGCATAAACTGCACCAAATTATGTTATATCGTATAACATAAGTTGAAATAATCTTCATTCCTTATAATTTAATTTCAATGTAGACAATGAGACAATTTTTCCATTTTTTCCTTCGAAAAAAAAAGGCTTCAAATATCGCATATTTTAAAAGTTAACGTCAAGCAGAGTAATACTTTTTTGACGTAACTCATTGTGACATAGGCAAGTTATGTTATACAAAATGGATAAAACCGTTTAACCAATCAAATGACGTGTTACAACTAAAATTAAATTATTTCATGCTAAAATATATACCAGTACAGTAAACCTTGTTTAGTACAAACTCAGATATTGTGAATTCACAGAAATAGTTATTTTCTCTTATTGTCATAGGACCCAGTGACTTTATTATAGCCAAATTTTACTGTACTGATTTTTTTTTTGATGAATTGCTGAATTTACTTCTCGTTGAATATCCCATTTTTACGATTATACTGTATTGCATGCATAGTTTGGCTTTAAAAATTGATTGCTATACTGGTAAATTTATGCCTATCACCTAAAATACATGGGAGTTGTGTAAGATTTCACAATTTAAGTATGTTTCAGAATATATGTACTACATGTATTTATATAAATGTTAGAGGGATGGACAGTTAATACAACTAACGAGTACACATCTTATATTAAGTCACCGATTACTCTTATATTCTCCACTCAAAATTACCCCATCATATATGTACGGAAAATAACACTTAATAACATCCAGGGATTCACTATAATACCTCAGTGTTGAAGAATGAGAACACTTATTAAATATCATTTCCTTTAATATGAATATCAATTGCTTATGTCGATCAGTATCAAATTTAATGCTCAATTCTGTACTCTGAACTCAAATATTTACTCTCAGAAAGCAAGCATTGTAGGAAATTATTAAATTCATTTTTAAGATTTTGATCCCAACTTGACCAAATATGACTTACCTGACCCATTATGACCTGATCTGACCCTACATGACTTAGTCCTAACCTAATCTGGCCCAATCCTGACCTATCATCTAAAATATCTGGTAAATAAATGATTGATGTGTCCTGATCGATATAAAGAAATTAAAGATTGCAATGGATTTTGAATTTTAAAAAAAAGTGGATTTGAAAAAAAAGAACAGAAATGTCTCAAAATAAAAGTTCAAACCACAGAGCAAATGGGGAAAAATAAACTAAAAATGTAATGTACATGAAAATTTGTTAATAAATTAAAGATAGAAAGGTGAATACAAAAGGGAAATACAGTGGTGTAAATATTTTATTCACTGCAACCCTCTTTTTACTGATACCTTTCCCTGCTCTGGGAAATGAGGTTTTTTATTTGGAAATGCTTCATCCATTCCTATCAATAGAAAACATATACCTGTTTAATTCTAGGAATATATGGGGTCTTTGTTGGCAAAGCATCGTCCATGCCTGTGAAAATAAAAAAAATTATTTTAAAATTAAACACATTCCTAAGTGTTTGATATAATGGAAATGTACTTTTGAAACATGTCCAAAACTTATAAACTCTCAGATTTTTTTCAATGCAGATTTAGGATATTTTGCTATCAATGACCAAGCTATAGAGAACATACAATACCCATGTGGTAGTATGGTAGTACAGTGGGACACTGCTTAGAAATATTACCCATGTGGTAGTATAGTAGTACAATGGGACACTGCTCAGAAATCTTACCCATGTGGTAGTACAATGGGACACTGCTCAGAAATCTTACCCATGTGGTAGTATGGTACATGTAGTACAATGCTTAGAAATCTTACCCATGTGGTAGTATGGTAGTACAATGGGACATTGCTTAGAAATCTTACCCATGTGGTAGTATGGTACATGTAGTACAATGCTTAGAAATCTTACCCATGTGGTAGTATGGTAGTACAATGGGACATTGCTTAGAAATCTTACCCATGTGGTAGTATGGTACATGTAGTACAATGCTTAGAAATCTTACCCATGTGGTAGTATGGTAGTACAGTGGGACACTGCTCAGAAATCTTACCCATGTGGTAGTATGGTACATGTAGTACAATGCTTAGAAATCTTACCCATGTGGTAGTATGGTAGTACAATGGGACACTGCTCAGAAATCTTACCCATGTGGTAGTATGGTAGTACAATGGGACATTGCTCAGAAATCTTACCCATGTGGTAGTATGGTAGTACAATGGGACATTGCTCAGAAATCTTACCCATGTGGTAGTATGGTAGTACAATGGGACATTGCTCAGAAATCTTACCCATGTGGTAGTATGGTAGTACAATGAATAGAAATCTTACCCATGTGGTAGTATGGTAGTACAATGGGACATTGCTCAGAAATCTTACCCATGTGGTAGTATGGTAGTACAATGAATAGAAATCTTACCCATATGGTAGTATGGTAGTACAATGGGACATTGCTCAGAAATCTTACCCATGTGGTAGTATGGTAGTACAATGAATAGAAATCTTACCCATGTGGTAGTATGGTAGTACGAGGTTTGTCCCGTAAAATCGTGGACAAAGCGTTTTTCTCGAAAAGTAATGGGCGCACTAAGCTGAAATTTTCAGTAAATGTTTATTCATCATATTTAAGTGCATCATTATGTTTTTGATAATATTTATACAAAGATAAAGATTTTATTATGCTTGAATGTGCACAGGGTACGGTCCTACGGCGCACCGTAAAAATAACACGGTTATATTAGAGAATACTCAAGAATTAATTCGTAATTAAAGTTTTCAGTACATAAAATTGGGATGAAAAGTATCATCTTTTGATTCCTTAATCAATTTTGTCGTCATTGTAAAAATTTCAAAGCATTTGGTGAATTTTTGGCAGTTTCCCGAGCATTCGAAATTAGAAAGTGGTAAACACAATACTCAAAAAAACGTGATTTTTGATGACGTTACGGCGCACCGGAGAGCAGTTCAGTTAGATCTGGATGTTGTAATGACACCTTAAGAGTCTTTAAATGAATACAAAAGAAAGAAAATATGACAAAAATCACCAGATCTTTAGTATATAAATGAAATAGAAGTTTTCTTAGCGAATTCTTTTTGATCGAGTCCTCAGGTAGTACAAAAATATACGGACAAACTGCTATTGTAATAGCAAAAGACGCTGTCATTGTCGACCGTTGATACGAGATTCTCTGTTATTTGAATGCTGGTGAGAGCCCTGTCCAAAACTTGCTAATGAATTTTCAAAAGATTGCATGTTTAAGCCAGATGGGTTCCTTATCTGGTTATAGACACTCATGTATGTAAATCAATGGAATTTATTAATTTAAATGGGACTTATCCAACTATATTTTAAGCAAAAATGAAACGTGACGCTGTTTTAGACACTTTGACGTTATCATCCGTGCGCCGTACGACGATACAATACATTACATAACATCTAATAATTTGTTTATCTATGCATATATCAATTTGAAATTTGCTTTGTATATTGATAATATATCTACTAAAGAGTAGTGAAAATTTCAGAACACAGTGATGATTATTTTTCAAACTAGACCACTTGTCCACGATTTTATGGGACAACCCTCGTACAATGGGACACTGCTCAGAAATCTTACCCATGTGGTAGTATGGTAGTACAATGAATAGAAATCTTACCCGTGTGGTAGTATGGTAGTACAATGGGACACTTCAGAAATCTTACCCATGTGGTAGTATGGTAGTACAATGAATAGAAATCTTACCCATGTGGTAGTATGGTAGTACATGGGACATTGCTCAGAAATCTTACCCATGTGGTAGTATGGTAGTACAATGAATAGAAATCTTACCCATGTGGTAGTATGGTAGTACAATGGGACATTGCTCAGAAATCTTACCCATGTGGTAGTATGGTAGTACAATGAATAGAAATCTTACCCATGTGGTAGTATGGTAGTACAATGGGACATTGCTCAGAAATCTTACCCATGTGGTAGTATGGTAGTACAATGAATAGAAATCTTACCCATGTGGTAGTATGGTAGTACAATGGGACACTGCTCAGAAATCTTACCCATGTGGTAGTATGGTAGTACAATGAATAGAAATCTTACCCATGTGGTAGTATGGTAGTACAATGGGACACTGCTCAGAAATCTTACCCATGTGGTAGTATGGTAGTACAATGAATAGAAATCTTACCCATGTGGTAGTATGGTAGTACAATGGGACATTGCTCAGAAATCTTACCCATGTGGTAGTATGGTAGTACAATGAATAGAAATCTTACCCATGTGGTAGTATGGTAGTACAATGGGACATTGCTCAGAAATCTTACCCATGTGGTAGTATGGTAGTACAATGAATAGAAATCTTACACATGTGGTAGTATGGTAGTACAATGGGACACTGCTCAGAAATCTTACCCATGTGGTAGTATGGTAGTACAATGAATAGAAATCTTACCCATGTGGTAGTATAGTACAATGGGACACTGCTCAGAAATCTTACCTTGGTAGTACACATGAATAGAAATCTTAATGTGGTAGTATGGTAGTACAATGGGACATTGCTCAGAAATCTTACCCATGTGGTAGTATGGTAGTACAATGAATAGAAATCTTACCCATGTGGTAGTATGGTAGTACAATGGGACATTGCTCAGAAATCTTACCCATGTGGTAGTATGGTAGTACAATGAATAGAAATCTTACCCATGTGGTAGTATGGTAGTACAATGGGACATTGCTTAGCTTCTGTTAGCAATCTTCCTATCCCTGGAAGTAAATTAAGGGTCAATATAGACAATTACAACTTCAGCTTGCAAAACATTATTTCTTGAATAGAATTTGGTTTTGATGAAGTAAGTTGGAAATCCCAAACACTTTTCTTTCACATATTTATCTCAAATCTTGCAGAATTTTATTGGACCCACTGAGTGTAAGATAGAAAGGTTTGACACTAGTCAAGAATGCAGTTACCACCATATATTACAAATGATTTTTTTTCTCCAAGAAATAATACAGTGTTTTAATCTTTACTATGATGACAAATTTCTTTTCATTTTCATTAACGTTTGACCAGACAGCTTATAATGCCATTTACTGGTTCAGTTTGAAGATGCAAGGAAAGTTGAAGATATCTATATACATGCTTTGTGGATACAGAATAATTGCATTTGAACATAATATTGAACTTGACATTAAAACCTTGTGAAACTATTTGGAGAAAGATTTATAAAATCAGAAATAAAGATAATCTCAGAGGTCTTACCCCATTTAAATCTCATATAGGTTTTTTCTAGGTTAATTTTCCCTGGAAAAGAAAAGGATTAACTTTTAGTTCCACAGGTGTGTCGACTGAAGGTAAAATAACAAAAAATTGTTTATAAAATAAACAGTTCTAAATTTACTCTATTTCTATTACTAGGTTTTAAAATTGTTTTTATTGTCCCCTAGGTCATGATTTTGGTATGTGTTTTGAAGTTCAACAACTACAATCCTGTACTATTCTAAGGCAGGGCAGTATTATATGGACTTTTATAACATATTCTATTCAACCTTAAAATGACCAAAGAAAAAATATATATGTATCTGGATGCCACCAAGTGTTTTTGTGATATCTTAAATAACAGTAAAAAAAAATGTTAAACAGACTGTATAATTTCTGAATGAAAATCCCGTCAGAAGAAAAATCAAACACTGAAAGATAAATATAGCAAAACATAAACACCTGGTATAGTTAAAATCTAAAATTTACTTTGACATTTTCTTGTCTCTGTGAAAAAAAGAGCTTCGTTTTACAAATAAATTTGCTACATCTGTGTTTTCTGCAAACCTGTTTTACTGTACATGGCATTCACACCAAAAAATTTCATTTACTGTAACAATGCAATGTGTTTCTACTAAGTGACTATATTCTGAGATATAAAGTACAACATTCATGATCATGAATATCAAAGATCATAAACAGCCTAGTATACATTTCCCAAATAAGAAATTGGTTAAGAATGTCATAGGACACCTTTAATTACACTTCATTAATTTCACTACACAAGACAAAAATGTGACAATAAAAATACCTTCTGGAAATACATGGACCCAACCCCCCTGATCAATCTTCTCCATGGCAAAGTCCATGGGTTTCTGGTAGATGCCCTTGCCCCTAATGGTAGGAATGGCTTTCCCGAGGCTGAAGAAGAGAGCCAGAGGTTTGGACGTGAAGCAGATCTCGTCTGCCACCAGGACCCAGCGCAGTCTCTCTCCGTTCACTACCTGCCTCCACTTCATCATGGCTGTGTGAAGAAAAATGCAAGAAAGGAGAGAAGTAGAACAAGTACAGTCAAACCTGTATTTTAAAGCAGTCATCTTCTGGTGTTTACATTTTTTTTCTGGATTGGTAGTTTATAGTAACTGTAACACTACTATCATGATAAATCAGAATGGTTTAAACTCTTTTTAGTACAATTCATTATTATAGATCTGCTAAAAAATTATATAGCCAGTGTACCCGTTTATTTTTAGGAAAGGATTCTTCTTAAATTGGGCTCTTTGTGTCTTAAGATTTGAAAATTTCTTAAATGTGTACCATGGGTCGTGGGGTCATCAATACAGCTGTCATGGTTACAGTATGTAATCAAACTTCGCCCAGATTTCCTCATTTCATCAACCGTATCTATCATTTTCTCTCTGTTGTACACAGTGCAACTGTTTAACCGTTCTGAAAAAGATGTTAATACATGTACATTTTAGAATGAAATTAACCTTTAATCATATATACATGGCTTTGATATTTTCATTCAAAGTTATAAATAAAGTTGTCATTTTTAATAGAAATTGTCCAAGGGAAATGAATGTCCTTACCAGGGTTCATTAAAATTTAGTAATGCAATATGAAAAGAAATGTCAAGGTCATAAAGAAATTCAATATTAAGGTCAGAAAATTGTGACACAGTGGAATAGCTTTTATCAGTTTGTTTTATGTATGAAGTTTGATGAAAATATCTTGAAAGGTTTCTTTCATATTGAGGTTTTAAAAAACACAAAAAAAAGTAAAGTCAAGGTCATAATGAAGTTCAAGGTAAAAGAATAATTTGGACACAGTTGATAGGTTTGCAGATATGAATGCTGAAATTGCTGATCAAATTTATGGAAGGGGAAAAATAGTTTTACAAAAATAATATTTTTCTTTTTTTTTCAGATTTACTTTTTACCCCTTGATGTTATTACACGAGAAAAAGGGTCATGCATGTAAAAGAGCTCATTCTCAGTCTGTTTTCTAGAAAAAAAAGTCAGTCTTGCCAGCATTTCTCTTTTGGCAAATTTTAAACAAAATGCACAATTATATATATAACCTTAAGCTATCTAGAATATGGGAAAAACTATTCTTTACAGCAAAATATGACAAGAGTTGAAAAATTCCTAAAGAAGCATTTTTTTTTTGTTTTTTTGTTTGTTTTTTTTTTTTTTGGGGGGGGGGGGGGGTTCTGGGTTCTGATTCTAACTTTATTTTTCTAATATGTAAGTATGATGATATATGTCAAAAATGTTTATATCAAGATCTGGCCCCAACACCATAAACTGAGAACAGACTTAAGTCAAAACCTTTGAATTCAATTATCTTGAATTTTATATAGCTATGTACTTTAAATATTTGCAGGTTTGTATAATATTCTAAGTTAAAGAAATGGGGAAAATTTTTGCATCATTATGAAAATTATTTCAGAAGATATATTGATTTGAAATTTTGACATAAGTCTGTTCTCAGTTTATGGTCTTGGTGCCTGCTTTATCTATATTGATAGAATTATTTTCACAAAATCTCATAATCTGAAAATAAGACTTAATTAGTTTAAAATTGCATTCCCACCTCATAATCTGAAAAGTAGTTTTAAATCGCATTCTCACCTGATAACCATACTTAGCAAAGGTAAATAAAAGATCAAACAAAACAATGACTTAATGTAATAGAACACATTTGGATTGAATGTTCATTGAAGCTGAAGTGTACTGGATTATCGAAATAAAATTTCACACCTGGTGAGGTATGTTAACTCAATCAAGAGCTGATTAAGGAACGACCAATTAAGGATTTAATTCTTAAGGCTTTACAACCCACCTTAAGGTCGAATGACCCACTGGTCACTGAAATGGAATTACATTTCTAGCAAAAGATGAAGACATAAAAATGTGAAATTTATTTAGCACATTAATAACTCTCTCTGTTGCATAACTTTAGGACAAATCATTAAATGAGGAAATGAAAATTTTAATAAAATAATTGCAGTTGTAAATAAACATCAATATTTAGATTTATCTCCCTTAGTAGTACTATGCGGGCCATTATCCTCCTTAAGACTACATGCAGGTCTACAAGTCTGTACCCAATTAAAATGAATTGGATTTGTAAACGAGATTTTGTTGATTTAAAAGAATTCTTTTTAATTTTTATTCAAGATTCAAATTATGAATTGCCTGTTATTCAATTACTTTCTTGTCCACAATCATGAACACTCCAAAAGATTATCATGCATGTATAGTTAAAATTTCATGGCCATTAAGGAACTGAAAGTTGTGCAACGTTGGTGCCCCCTCAATAAAACGTCTGATGACTTTTTTTGTTTTGTTTTGTTTATTTTTTGCTTGACAAGAACTTTTTGGTAGTTGAACGTACGTGCCCCCCCCCCTCCCCCCAACTAAAAATTCAATTGCTTCCTACAGGCCTGAATGTCACTTTAAGTACTGGACATGCACACTTCTACAACAGCTCATAAAGGAATCTGTATCAGTATGAAAAGTTCATGGACAAATGGGTAAACATTTTCATAGTATGAAATTAAGGCAAGATTTTGAAAAACACAACATCCTCTTTAGTTTTAAGACACATGTAATGATTACAGTTATTGTACTATATGGCAAAGCAACTTCTCAAGGCCAGCATTAATTTAAACCGCATACATCACTGTCCATAACCCCAAACTACCCTGTAAAATGTGCTGACATTCCACGATATTTCTCTATTATTTTTTCCAACATTGTTTGCATTCACCAGATGGTTGAACAATCAGAAAAAATAAACACCGGACTGTGCAGGCTTATAAGAGTACCCCTCACCCAACATTTAGTCTGCCTGCTGTTATTCTGTTGTCATAAAAAAAAAATCATGTTTCACTTCAAAACACTTGTGACAAGTTTTTCTTGCAGTACACACGAACCAACTCCCACCCAATACTACAATGGCATGTTTACTTTTTTTTAAAGAAAGAAAATGTCCGTTGACCTTTCGTTCACATATATACATAAAAGTTTGTCTTTGTGCAGAGACAGGAATAGAAAGCACAGTTATAAATATGTTTAATCCAATAACCTTTGCACATAATCCCATAAACCTTGCACCTATACTGCTATTTAATAATGACATTGACACTTAATCATAATGATCTTATAAAGGATTCATGATTCAAAGAATAAACAATATGGGAATCTATTGTAACAATGCCATTGACAAAACACTCAATTTTTAAAATCATTAAGTAAACATGATCAATGTATACATTACTTACAATAAAATGAGTTTCTTGTCCACTTTAATAGTCTTTTTTTAAAATTTACTTAATATAACGTAAGAATAAAAGTAAAAAGGTATAAAAAGATTGGGGGGGGGGCTTAATGCCTTATCAAATAATATTAATTTTTCCATCATTCAAAATGAAGCATTTGTGATGATCGAGTAGTCCCTTTTAAGGGAAACTGCAACAAAAATTTGTAATGTTATGTATGGTAACAACAGAAGCACGGATAGTCAGGAAGTTGACACTGGATTTGAACAAAAATGCATCTTATTATATGGCATGCCTCAGCCAAGAATGTGCTAATATTTCAAGCATCTGCAAAGAGTAGTTGCTGAGAAAACTGGGAAGAAAATGAGAAAATTTGTTATGGACAGACAGTAGACACCTAGACAGACACAGAAAAGTAAAACACTATACCCACGGCCCCTCTCCTTCAGAGCCAATCAGCAGGGGTATAACTTTTTTTTTTTCAATCTTGAAAGTGATTGCTTATTTGATTCATGTAATTTATTGATCCAATTTCTAATAAAACTTTTTAATTTTTATTATTTAATTTATTTAATTAAGTCAATATACTGAAACAAGTAAATCCATTTAATGAGCTTGGTGAATAGTTTGACCAGTTTTTGATGTCAGATGAAATATGAATTGGCAGATAAACATGGTGTCTGTTTTACAAAGATTCTCTAACAAAGTATCTAAAAGATAAACCTATCATAAAAAGTTAAACCTATGAAGAGCCATAAGACCTTTTTGTTGAGCTGTTAAAATTCAGGGAAAATTTGAGGGAATAATCAAAAATCACATGTGTGATTGTAACTTTAAATACAAAACTAAAAATTTACTCAATCATGCAATGTATTGTCCGCCTGTGGGCGAAATTCTTTCACGTACATGCTTATTCTGGTCATTGCACACTCTTAAAACAAGAAAAACCTTGACCAATCCGTAAAGCCAGATCAGGTTTAATATGCACTTGAGTTAAACAATGTTTTGTTTCATTTGGTCATAAGAGACTCATGCCAAATGTTACGGCATTCCCATACGGAAAAAAAGGGCAAACAAACTACTATAACAAATGACTAACAAACCACTATGGTTTGAAAGTAGTTTAATAGTATAGCAAATCACATGCAAATGAGCTAACAAACTATACTCTAACAAACTACTATCAAACCACTCTTAACAAACTAGTTATCAAACTACTTTAACAAACTACTTTCAAACCACTCTAACAAACTACTATCAAACCACTCTAACAAACTACTATCAAACCACTCAACAAACTACTATCAAACCACTCTAACAAACTACTAACAAATCACTGGTAACAAATATCCCTCAGCAAAACACTTAAGATTTTAATTTTCCTTAACCTTTACAACTCCACAAGTCTTTGAAAACATCTAAAACAGTCACATTTTGAAATATTCAAAAAGTCTTGTTTCAGAGTATTTTAAAATCCAGGATTCACAAGTTTAGCCAAAAGTGCAACATTCCAACATGTTCCCTTTTGTTTAGGCGATGCAATTCCAAGCCAATGTCCATCAAAATACTTATCACATATTCTCCTTCATGTTGTGCACATCTTCATTTATCACCAAAAAAATGTTCTTCAAGCTGACATTTAAATATTCCCTGCTTCATCTGGCATGGAAAATGCTGCAATATTTCCTTTAATTGTTCTGGCATTATTGCAACGTTGAAAGAATCTGTTTTTGCTTATTTTCAAGCATACTTCCCATAATTCAATGCATAACTGATCTAAACTAGTATAGGAATTATAGGAAAATCTGAAAATAAATAAATTAAAATCACAAAGCTAGTAAAAGCATACACATCCACATTCACAGAAGGTTAATTACTGTAGTCCAGCCTTATTTTAGGTAAAAAGGAACTTTATGACATGCATTAAATACCTCTTCTGTATCCAGATCCATCTTTTAATAATGTTAATTGCTATTTAATCCAGTCAGGGATCTTATAGAATGATACTAACAATTTGAATGTCCCTTCACCAGTTCCTTTGTTTCTGACCTGCTTGGTGGTTTGAAAATTGGCGCAAATAGCTATAACACCGGATGTAAAGATTAAGCTGTTCTTGGAAACTTCAACAATTCTAGATAATTCAACCCTAAACATGTCTGTAAATTAATTTCCCATGTGGTTAGATGCAAATGCTATACTAATAAAACACTGTGTGCAAGATACAAAGTCTAACAAACTATAAAGAAACCACAATCATGCCGAAATGAAAGACTAACAAACCACTATACTTATTTTTAGAAATAGTGGTTTGTTTGTGTTTCATTAAATGCTATACTATCAAGCTATTTTAACAAACCACGAAAATATAGTTTGTTGGTAGTTTGTTGATGGTTTGATAGTAGTTTGTTAAAAATCTTTTCCGTTTGGGTTATTGTTTCGGTCAATCTGACCAATAAATTAAGGATATCCGATCCTCAGTCAGGAAGGATAACTCCAAAAATTAAAAATTTTATTTGAAATGCATCAAAATGAAGCTTGAAAATTAAATTTTTTCATGTTACAATTTTCATTTTATTGATCTTTATAAGATTCTAGGTTTTTGGAAGTCTTGGGAAAGGCCTTATAAAAGTTGACTTTTATATGCTATAAAAGGGGAAAAAATAATACAGTTTTAGAGAAATAAGATTTTCTTGTATCCAGCCTTAGATACTAATGCTTATTAGCATGATATGATATAAAGAGTGATTTGTGGTGTCTTGCAATGATAGCAAAAGCCTTTGACACTATGTATTATAGAATAAATGACAGAAATAGAAGACAAAAAATACCAAATAAGTATAAAAATCATGGCAAATTCTCTGGATGCCTGGATACCTATTGTTTTTTAACCTAAAATATATTTGTTGAACAATTTGCAATTAGAAAATGCATTGCTGATATTACAATTCACCTTTTCCACAAAAATAATGGAGATTTGACATTTTTCCCTATATAATATGATTAATTGTAATTTTTAACTATAAAGAAATCCTGTGCATAAATTTACATAACTTTGTGCATTCAGAGATACTTTTATGAGTACTTTTGATTACTTAACTGCTAATTTTATAAACCTGAGGATCGGACTACCTTAATTAGTTCAAATTATTTTTTTGTCCAAAAAATTGAATGAGATCTGTTACGATAGCAATTTAATTTTGGGTTGAATATTTACAATGCAGATTCATTATAAATGCATTCTTCAAAATTGTGCTTAAGAGATTAATTCCATTTTTTACATTAAAAAAAATTTAAGGGCATATTCTAGCTGTATATGTGATGAGCATAATGAGGGCCTAGCTGTTTCAATTTACACACTTCTTAATAAACTAAATATACTGGAAAAACATGAAATATTTAACTGTACAAAAATGATGAAAGTGTAAGCACTTAAATGTAAAAGACACCTTTATTTTCTTTTGAGACATTGAGAATTATGTTAATAGATTGTTTCAATATCCCCATCTTGGAAGGGGGTGAGGGGTGGTGTGTTGTGTTACTATATAACGAGCCATCAATACTTATCTTGGGATGTTAGTAATGGGAACGTAAAAACCAAACAACATTCTTGTTGTGTCAAATTATTTAGAGTGGATACACAGTTATTACAACCTTAAGACTATTGGACAAGAATAATAACATTTTTAACCAAAATTTAAAAACGCAAAATTAAATTTTGTTTTATTTGTATTTAAAAAATATTGACAACTTTCGGAATTCGTGGTATTAAACAATACTTACCTAAATATATTTTGGAAACAACCCCAACAAGTCCACACACAAAGTTAGATGACCAGTTCCAAAGCTTAGCCCGAACAGGTGATCTTCCATCAGGGAACATCCAATATTTCACTGGCATATTGATTTTGAAATAAACGACGAAGGAAGAAGTGAGTTCACTTCAACTTAAGTTTATAAAATTAATTCAAGGGATTGTTGTGTCATTGCCCGATGTTTAAAACACCTACTCATTGTGTTTTGTTTACTTTCATGATCATGCCGTGTTTCGTGTGAGGCAAGCAGTCGGAAAGTCACCGAGAAATTATGGAATTTCAAACCCGATGACTTTGACAAATCATTTAAATAGCAAAATGGTAAAATCAATATTTAAAAAAAAAATCAGTTGATATTTCTTCAAAAAATTCTGAGCATTTTTTTATAATTATAATCTGCACACTCATTAGAAATACATCAATAATAATTTCGAGGATCGGGATCGAGATTACACCTTATGTGTTTCCCGCGATCAGTAAAAGAGAAAATAGCCCACTAAAAACAAACCAACATCATGCCAAGAACACAGAAGCAGGTATCTTTATAATTTATCTCCATTTATATTCACTAAAATATTGTTCAGAGATGTATATCAATCTTCTTCATGTGCAATTTGTCTCGTTTGAAGTACCTTTTTTTTCATGTTTTTATGCAGGATGTTGGCAGGTCCAGTACAATCACTAGATTTAGCTATGTAGGTAGAATTAACTGCGTAGCTTTATTTACCTACCTCAGGTAGTCTTATTTAGCTATTTATTTATATTAATAAATTGATTTGGTAGCTAAATAAAGCTACCTCAGGTAGGTAAATAAAGCTAAGTAGGTAAATCAAGCTACGTAGCTAAATCTAGTGATTGTACCAGACCTGGTTGGCAATAGTTTGCTCTACATTTTAACCAGAACTGTTAATGACATTAATCAATGTTGTATGCCTCAGAAGATCTAAATATTCATAGGGTTCAGTTTCACAAGTAAAAACTAAATTGCCAAAATTCTTTCTTGTTCGTTTTCCTCTGTGTAGACTTGATTGTCATAATTCTCTGTATCCATTGAAAATATTATCAACTAATTGATTTACAGTCAACTCGTACACAAACTCTCTGGCAAAGGAATAAGTATCGATAGATAAAAGATGTTACAATAAATATAATTTAAGATATTTACTCTTACAGACAGACAATGACAGAATACCAAGTTCTCAGGTGTCGGGGACTCAGGCAGAGAAGGCACACTCCAGCATGGACCGAGGAGAGCAGGAGAAGAAACTAAACGACCTCATACAGTTCCTACTGATAATGGACCAGAAGAAACTACCCATTAAAAAACTAGGTCAGTATTAAGCCACGGCCTATAAAAAATAGGTCGCTCTGGAAACCATAATGTTTATTTATATGATTAGGCTGGAATTTTGGCTTCAGCCCCTTCCTTCCGCCCATTTTCTGAGTCAGATACAAATTAATAATAATTGTAAATTATTACAGATATTAACAAGCAAGTACTAAAAGAACACAGCAAGGCTTTCCCCGTACTAATCAAACAAGCTGAGGAAAAATTGAGAAAGGTAAGTCACAAAAAAATGGTTGGAAAAAAGGATGTTTATTTGTAAATTGTGTAAAATGTCGTATGCCAATAAAGATAAGTATAAAAAATAGTTCTGGAAACCATAATGTTTATTTATATGATTCAATTTTGGCTTCTAGCTCGTGGAAGATATTAACAAGCAAGTACTACTCATGCTGAATGAATAAATTCAACCTTTGAAACAAAATTTGATAGTTCAGAAAAGTTTATCAGACCTTATATAATCTTGTGTCTGTTAAAATTAGAAATGTGATAAAAAAAATCTCTATAGTTTTTTTTCTCTGTCACCAAATTCTATTAGTGCAACTCATAAATTTCTTATCCTGAGAGAATTCACAAAATAAATGGGCAGCATGCAATATTCTTGATGATGCCTGATACCTTACACAATGAACTTATTTCAAAAGCTTGAATGAGTAACTGTTAGGAATTTTTTATATATTAAAACGAATTTATTTTATTGTACATACATGTTGTATAAATGCTTCAATTAAGAGTCCAGGCATCATGTTAGAATTGTTCACTTTTCAATCTTCTTCTGTAGATTTTAGCAAAGACAGTGATTCATTTTGCCCTGCGTATTGCCTAATTTATGCATTAAATTCATTAAATACCCATTGTATTTGTCCAGTGCGTCCCGAATACGCATAAGTGATAACCCGCATAAAATAGAATCGAAGTTTCCAGTTTCTATTTTTATCGTTCATTCTGTTTTTCGGAACAACTGCAACACGTTTTAGCACACTTCATATTTCATTTGTCTTCTATAAATCATTTAAACAAAAGGCTTAAAGTATAAGATACGGTAAAATTACATTTAACAAATGTTTTTAATTGTTTAATATGTCGTAATTAACACACGCTCAGCCGCTGACACAGTATACGAAAGCTGGTCATAAACCGTCCCGATTTTTAACAAAGAAAATGTTAATAATCAAAGCAAATTATAAGGACAGTAAAAAATCAGTGATCTAACTGTAAAAACATTGCTTTGGAGTTGGTAGACACTTAATTGCCTGGAGGGGTGTTGGGAGATAATTATCAAGTGACCAGCGCACGTGTTTAAAACATTGGCTTCCTTTCATTGGTACGTAGAGAGGGTGTTTATGTTGCAGTGAATTTTCACTGAGTTATTTACAACCTAAAATATTTTTTTATTATTGTATTTAAAAAAAAAGACATTACTTTGTCTGATTATTACGGAAGGAGTGAACGTCTAAAAATAACATCGGTAATGGCGGCCTTCACGGAGAGTCGGGGAGACAATAAACATGCAGCTCAAATTAATTTTAACTTGCTTTTTCATGTAATTATAGTATCAAAAGGTTATGAAAATGACATTTTTAACAAGCATACATGTACTTTCCAACAATAAATTCCGAAGTTTATATTAAAATATGGCGATAAACAAAAGAAGTTACACATGTCTCTATATGTAATAATACGGTATGTACGTATGATAGCCATGTTTCACCTGAAAGAAAAACATATGAAAATCCCATTTTCATGTAAAGTATGTACTCCTTTCTTACAGAAATTTATTTTAGGAAAAAGTGCGTATTATATTCCGCCAAATACGGTAACTGAAGAAAAAAACTTGGCTTGATATCACATTCATAGTTGTTAAAATTCTGACCCATTGATTTTGAGTTCTGACCCATTGCTTTCTGACAGAGGGGTACACTGTACCCATTCATTCAATTTTCAAAATGAATCACTGCAAAGAATATTGTTAGTTGTACAAAATTAAATAACCTCTGAAATAAACTTTTGTTTTGTTAAATATTACCCACCAGTGCCAAAATGTGGAGTATTAAAGTAAATTTCCGGCCTTCCTAGATATTTGGGATAGAGCTGGTCAGCTTGGAGGACAAACAGAAGGGGATGTACATACTGGTCAACACCCTGGACACTGACGTGGACGAGCAGCTAGAGCAGGTGCCCGGCCTCAGCCTGACCCCAGTAGAGTGGTCAGAAGATGACCACGCCAGGACTGGACTCCTCATGGTGGTACTCAGTGCCGTGTTTATGAATGGGGAAGTCATGATAGATTGTGAGTACACATATGAATGGGGAAGTCATGATAGATTGTGAGTACACATATGAATGGGGAAGTCATGATAGATTGTGAGTACACTCATGAATGGGGAAGTCATGATAGATTGTGGGTCCATTCATGAATGGAGAAACCATGATAGATTGTGAGTCCATTCATGAATGGGGAAGTCATGATATATTACAAGTGAAAACACTCCTGAATGGGGAAGTCATGATAGATTGTGAATACACTCGTAAATGGGGAAGTCATGATAGATTGTGAGTACTGAGTACACTCATGAGTGGGGAAGTCATGATAGATTATGAGTACTGAGTACACTCATGAATTGGGAAGTCATGATAGATTGTGAGTACTCTAATGAATGGGGAAGTCATGATAGATTGTGAGTACACTCCTGAATGGGGAAGTTATGATAGATTGTGAGTACATTGATGAATGGGGAAGTCTTGATAGATTGTGAGTACACTCCTGAATGGGGAAGTTATGGTAGATTGTGAGTACATTGATGAATGGGGAAGTCATGATAGATTGTGAGTTTGCTCATAAATGATGACGTTATCTTAGATAACATTTTGAGTTCACTCATTAATGTCAAAGTCATGATGGATTTTGAGTTCACTCATGAATGGTGAAGTCATGATAGAATTGAGTACAGGAACTCATGAATTGATAGATTGTGAGTACACTCATAAACAGTGGGTGTCAGATAGATTGTTAGTTTATTCCATCATCTAATAATCTGTTGAGGATGTTGCACAAGATTCATGATGATTTTAAGTTTTCTATCCTTAACTTCCTGTGCTTTATGTTGCATCAAGCATCAGCACCTGCATATGGAGTTTGTCGCTCCCAGTACATTCAATATGCAAGAGAATGATTTACATGCAAACTATTTACAAAACAAGACAAGCTACCGACAAATAATAATTTGAAATACAACAATATCAAAAGCCTTGTTTAAAGTCAACATTTCCTGAATTCTTTGGTGAAAACAATGACCTTGTTAGCAAATACAGTCTATTCGTAAGTCAAAAGTTAATAGACATTTTTAGCTCACCTCAACGAAGTTGGGGGGAGCTTATGTGATACCCTCGGCGTCGGCGTCGGTGTCGGCGTCGGCGTCGGCGTCCCAGGTTAAGGTTAAGTTTTTTGGAGCAGTTTTCTTTTTAATTACTTCTGTGTCCTATACTGATGAGACATGCATGGAAGATGCTTCAAATGTGTTTTATTGTACCAGTCAAAGTTTCAGATGCTGCAATTTCAGCAAAGGAATTACCAGGTTAATGTTTTTGGAGCAGGTTAACATTTTTGGTGCAGTTTTTGGTGTGGGTTTCATTTCCAAGTAACTATAAGCCCTATGTTGACCAAACTTGCATGGATGATACATCTAAGGATGCATACTACCGGGCTTGCTTCGGATGCTGAATCTGACCTACATTTTCCGGTTGAGTGAACAGGTTAAAGTTTTTGGTGTGGGTTTCATTTCCAAGTAACTATAAGCCCTATGTTGACCAAACTTGCATGGATGATACATCTAAGGATGCATACTACCGGGCTTGCTTCGGATGCTGAATCTAACCTACATTTTCCAGTTGAGTGAACAGGTTAATGTTTTTGGTGCAGGCTTCATTTCCAAGTAACTATAAGCCCTATGTTGACCAAACTTGCATGGATGATACATCTTAGGATGCATACTACCGGGCTTGCTTCGGATGCTGAATCTGACCTACATTTTCCAGTTGAGTGAACAGGTTAATGTTTTTGGTGCAGGCTTCATTTCCAAGTAACTATAAGCCCTATGTTGACCAAACTTGCATGGATGATACATCTTAGGATGCATACTACCTGGCTTGCTTCGGATGCTGAATCTGACCTACATTTTCCGGTTGAGTGAACAGGTTAAAGTTTTTGGTGTGGGTTTCATTTCCAAGTAACTATAAGCCCTATGTTGACCAAACTTGCATGGATGATACATCTAAGGATGCATACTACCGGGCTTGCTTTGGATGCTGAATCTGACCTACATTTTCCGGTTGAGTGAACAGGTTAAAGTTTTTGGTGTAGGTTTCATTTCCAAGTAACTATAAGCCCTATGTTGACCAAACTTGCATGGATGATACATCTAAGGATGCATACTACAGGGCTTGCTTCGGATGCTGAATCTGACCTACATTTTCCGGTTGAGTGAACAGGTTAAAGTTTTTGGTGCAGGTTTCGTTTCCAAGTAACTATAAGCCCTATGTTGACCAAACTTGCATGGATGATACATCTAAGGATGCATACTACAGGGCTTGCTTCGGATGCTGAATCTGACCTACATTTTCTGGTTGAGTGAACAGGTTAAAGTTTTTGGTGCAGGTTTCGTTTCCAAGTAACTATAAGCCCTATGTTGACCAAACTTGCATGGATGATACATCTAAGGATGCATACTACCGGGCTTGCTTCGGATGCTGAATCTGACCTACATTTTCCGGTTGAGTGAACAGGTTAATGTTTTTGGTGCAGGTTTCATTTCCAAGTAACTATAAGCCCTATGTTGACCAAACTTGCATGGATGATACATCCAAGGATGCATACTACCGGGCTTGCTTCGGATGCTGAATCTGACCTACATTATCCAGTTGAGCGAACAGGATAATGTTTTTGGTGCAGGTTTCATTTGCAAGTAACTTTAAGCCCTATGTTGACCAAACTTGCATGGATGATACATCTAAGGATGCACACTACCAGGCTTGCTTCGGATGCTGAATCTTACCTACATTTTCCGGTTGAGTGAATAGTTAAAAGTTTTTGGTGCAGGTTTCATTTCCAAGGAACTATGAGTTCTTTAATGACCAATCTTGCATAGATGATACATCTAGGGATGCATACTTCCAGGCTTGCTTCGGATGCTGAATCTGACCTACTTTTTGTGGATGAGTGAAAATGTTAGTTTTGATGCATGTTTCATTTCCAATAAACTATGAGCCCTATAATGAGCAAACTTGCATGGATGATACATCTAAGGATGCACACTAATGGACTTGCTTCGGATGCTGAATTGGACATACATTTTTCAGATAATAGACAAGGTAAAAGTTATGGTTACAGGTCTATTACCAAAAACTATAAGGCTTATATAACATTGTATAAACCAAACTTGCATAAATGCTGCATCAAGAGATGAAAACTCTCAAATTTGCTTCAGATGCTGGATTTTCATTACATTTTCATGAAGAAGAAGTAGTTTAAATTTTTTATGTAGGTCTATTTCAAAGTATCAGATCAAAATTGCTTTTAAAAATATTTTCATTTTTGGAATGTATACTTCTTGTTGGTTAATTGTGTGACTTTGCCTTACTTAAAGACAACATTCGTTGAGGTGAGCTCTGTAATCTCTGATTACCTATGTTTTCATACAAATTGTTGGGCCATTATTTTTACACTGATTTGTCTATGGAGTTTTCTACTAACCTAATCATGTCAGGAGCATACCGCACCACTTGATAGGAGGCGCTTATTCCTCTATGGCACCTGATCCCACCTCTGATGTTTTTGAAGGTCTGTGTTTGCTCTGCTCCCATTTTGTATTCTTTCAGTGGACTTTTTTTGGCTTGATAACTCTTGATAAGTCTATCTTTCATATTTCATTTTACTCCATTCATGCTTCAGATGCTGTATTTTCCCAGTTGTGTAATTAAAAGAGGGTAACAATAGAATTAACCTCTTGGTGTGGTTAACATTATTTAATAGGAAAGATTGTCAAAACTTTAAGATGACATTTCTTGAGATGAGTTTTGTAACCTTTCATTTCTTATATTCTGTTTTAGCACAACTGTACCATATGCTGAAGAAACTTGGAGTTGATCAAGAGTAAGACTTTTATTAATATACATTTGACCACTGTTTTGTGACATTTAGTTCTCTTGACAATAGCATAGCTGTGTTGAAAAAAAAGATTATGTTACGTTCTTTCTATAATGTCACTTGATTTAGCAGTTACTGCAGATCACCAAATCTTCACAACACTTTTTTTTTTCAAATTAGTTATTTGTCATTTATAAGTGAGACAAAGTTTTCTTGAAATCTGCTTATTGTTGTTCATGTTTATTTATATCTTCAATGATAAAAATAAACATTAGAGTCAAATTAAAGCAAGTAGACTTTCTAGCGTAAAAAAGTGAAAATAAAGTTCATGCAAATAAAAAAAATCTCTTTACGTGATACATTTACAATTTTCAACTCCAGAGGAATTTCTGGAAAGCGATCCAGAAAATGTGACAATTTTTCTTGAATTTTCAGTTACACTCATCCTGTTTTTGGAGATGTTAAGAAGCTGTTAACTACTGAGTTTGTCAGACAGGGATATCTGGAGCACACCAAACAGCCTAACTCTGATCCCCCCGTGTACGAATACCGCTGGGGGTTCAGGGCCAAAAAGGAAATCAGCAAGAGGAATTGTCTTGACTTTGTCAGTCAGGTGATATAGCTAATATAGCTAACAAAAGGGAAACAGTATTAGTTATCCAGATTCAATCAAGGGTGCACATGCATTTACCTTGAGTTTTATTCCCTGAGGCCTAAAGATGTATTGAGTAAAACCTGGGTAATCCCCGTACATCCTTAATTGGACCTGGATAACAAATTTATTCTTATTTAATCAAAAGCATTCCTATGGCTAAACCTATGGCTAATCAGTTGTATTTCAAACTGTTTATACTACAATGCATCTTGACGTCATGTTAATTGCCTTTTGATACTGAGAAACTGTGCATTGTGACGTCATGTTATTTACCTCCAACTCAAAATCAGGCCCCAAGACCAAGACCATAAACATCGCTGAAGGATATGATGTGAAAGTTTTACACAGAAATGAAACAGAAATACTGTTCCTGTACATAATTTGGCGATTCAAAATTTAGTGCAATCACTGTTAATGGAGTTGTTGTCGTAGTCATAACTTAACGCTACACTTTTTTGTACTGTGTATTACATATATATTTATTATGATTTTTTAGTGGTATTTATAAATGAGCGCATTGTTGTTTGCACCAAAATCACTAAAACATGAAGCCCAATTTTGTAAACTAAACATACAGCATTGTACATGTATACATTATAAAAGACCCTGACATGAATATTTCCGTGTTTGTTTTCCAGTTGTATGAGAAGCAGCCAGAAGAGTGGGTATCCCAGTTCCAGGTGGTGGAGGAGGAAGAGGGAGAAACACAGTCCTCAGTGTCATGACAACATGAACCATTCCCAGAACTCCTTCCTTTTCCCAGCATGCTACTGATGATATTCATAGTCTTTCAGGGACCAATGAAAAGTCAGGTGGAATATATTGTGATATGGTTTAAGTCCAAAAAGGATCACCACTGTTAACAACAATGTGGTTAAAGTTTTTAGAACTGATCCATTGTCTTAAAAACATTGAAGACTTAATTGAGATTAGAACTTATCCTTTCACCAGTGTAATGTCCGGTCCTGTGTATATCATTGTTATGCTAAAATGTTTTTAAAAAGAAATAAAATTTTTATTTAAATCATTGTGTTACATGTAAGCATGGTAATGGTATCCCGTCAGTACTATAAATATAAGAACAAACAATGAATGTGAAGAAATGATTGGCATATACAGTAGTTATCAAAACTGTTTGAAGGAGGCTCAAGTCAGATCTTCTCTCTCTATGACCTTATAATACCATATAAGTAGAATTTTTTTAGCGAGGATTTGATTTTGGCATTATTGAGTGAGGGTTTGACACTGTAAAATTGAATATTTAAAAAATATTGCTATTATTTGTAATAGTTTCTGTAGGTAGCATTTTAAAATCGCTAAGATTACTTCCCGCTAAAAATGAAATACCAGTTGTTGGGTAATAATAGCTAAATTTGAGTCTCGCTAAAATTCCACGTATACATGTACGGTATTCTCTGATAGACACTTAATGAAGGTTAGGTCTATCTGAACACAAAGGTCTGAAATAAATAAATATTTGTAAAACAAGCTTTGTCAGGGAATGTTTATCCTTAATTTTAAGAGAAATAGAAGTAGGAAATTAAAGAAGTGAAAAAAATGAATATGGGGAAAAAAAATGTTATATTGACCTTTCATTCTTTTCAGCTTTTATGTTGGCTCAGTTGGTAAATCCCTCCGTGATTAGGAGGTTGTGAGTTCGAATCTCTGCCGTGACTGACTTCGGTTGATAAATAATGGCTGCAACTGTTCCTTCATTGTGCGCTCAGCACTTTGCACTTTGAAGTGAAAGATGCGGGTCCTTCGATTGAGACCTTAAAAACCCAGGTCCAATGTCATGGCAGATGTTGGCACGAAAAAGAGCCCTCATTGCTCAATGGCCATGAGTGCCAAATAAAACTCAAAATTTGAAGCCCTTCACCAGTAAATGGTTACATATCTCTATATTTTGATTGGGATATGAAGCAACATACAATCGATCAATCAGTCAGCTCTTGGCCATAATTTCAAATGGTCTTTTTTAAATTGAAGAAAGTTTTATAATTTAAATGCTTACAGAGAACTAAAATTATCACATAAAATTATCAGATTATGAAAAATGGGAGGGTATAATGATCGAGATGTCCGTCCTTCTAGCACTCTGTACGTCCGTCTGTCTATTGCGCTTTGGGGTACCCATCTCTTATCTGCAACTCCTCCTATACCACAGAATGAAATTTAATGAGACTTTTACAGAATATTTCTTACATAGTGCCATTGAGCACCTTCTATTTTATTTTTTGATCGGATACTATTTCGGGTTTCCCTTGGCGAAACATTGACCTGTCATTCTATCTAAAATATTGAAGGGTACCCAGCTCTTATCCACATCTTCTCCTTTACAAATGAATGAAGTTAAATGATTCTTTCACACAAGTTGCATAATGCCATTGTACATCTCCTATTTTACTTTTTAATCTAAAGATTTGCATAAGAAAATACGTTTTGTAGATTGATTGATTATATATGTTGTTTAATGTCCCTCTCGAAAGTTTTTCATATAGAGACACCATTATTGTCGGTGGAGAGGTGTAAATTTTGTCCTATACTCGACACTTAGGGACATTGAGTAGGGAGGGATCTTTTCCGCGCCAGGACCTACTGCGGCAAGGAATCTCAGTTTATACGGTCTCATCCGAAGGACCAGTCTCCACGTCCCACAGTGGGATTCGAACCCGCGAAGTACAGAACAACTCCTTACTTATCGACTCTAGACCCTTAAACCACTGCGCCACGCGGGCGACTAAGAAAATAGAGGAAAAATATCTTCTCAAGAAAAGAAAAGCTATGTTTAGTCATATAGATTGATTGATTGTTATTGTTTAACGCCAAGTCGGCAATATTTCAGCCATATTTCGGCGATAGACATGGCTTTCAGAATACGTTTGTAATTATTTTTCACAATATGTTGATAGAATTCATAAAAATTGGTATTATTTAAATCAATAGTTCAGAACCAGCAAATCATTTCAATCCACAGAATAGCTATGTGTAAAACACGAGGATGAAAAATTGAAATCGAAAATATGAATACTTCAAAGAGCAAATAACTTTATTGTTTTTCATAAAGAAATCCTTCGCTACAATATATATCGTTCTTGGCTGAATTTTATTTCAATGGAATATAATGTTTTGCATTTTTTTTTCATTTACTGAAATCTTACTTTGCATTGTCTAGCCCGAATTTAATGTAAGAAGTTTAAAATGATACAGAATTTAAAAAAAAAAGGTTCAGACTAAACTCTGCCCAAAGGTTCAGGATTGAGCTTCACACAATCCTTCAAACAAAAATATCCCAACGAACCCAAACAACGAAAATTTGACTCCACGAAAATACGTGATTTTACAATATATATCTTTACTGAAAAAAATTGTGAACGGTTTCTTGCCGTCACTGTTTACCTAAGTACTGTAAATGTACTAGTATTATACTTGGTGTGTACGATATTTGGCGGTAATTGATTTTCAAAACAAGTTGTAGATTTTATTTAGCGCATTAACATTAATCATGGATGTAATCTTTAAAGACATTTAGCAATGTACATGAATAAGTAGAAGCCAAATGCACCCCCCAAAAATACACCGCCAAATGTAATTTACGTTAACAGTAATTTGCAATTAGCAAAAAAGAATGATTTATTGTTTTATTTTTGCACCCTGATATAATGTTGCACCGTAAATTAAAAAAAAATATATATAAATTTATCCTGTTAAGAGTCATTTGAAATTTTGATTTATGAATAAAATAAACTCATTAACAAATTATTATATTCGATTACACTCTCCATACTCTCAAAGTATACTGAAGACCCTATATACCAGGTGTTAAACTGACCCTGCATATCTAATATATCCCACAGATACCCACGGTCAGCATCTTCCGCGGAAAACCTGGGGAAATAATATCCCCATTTTATTTGTTCCAAAATTCTTGGATTAGTTTTTCTAAATTTCTTCAAGAATGCAGCTAATTTGGACTGGATCATAAAATCAGTATCCTTTGCCCAAGGCTTTTCATATCCATACTGGTAATACATTTGCGTTTCCTGCGGGTTCCTTTCAGGACCGTTTTCCCGAATACCAAGGCGATGGTCCTCCTTCGTAATGTTATTCTGGGCGTGGTAGAAATTATAGGTTAAGTACACCGGGTAGTTGTCTTGATCAACCGCATCGTTGTAATAAGTCTGTGCATCGTTGCCGCGAATGCCATTGTCAGATTCGATCAGTGTCGTAACAAAGTTTCCATTATACAGTCTGCTAAATAAATTCCTTTCCTTTGCGTTGAAATCCACGATATTTAGCAAAGAACTCATGGCCGGAGATAAGATCAAAAAATCGAAATTTTCCGTCCTAATAGTTGGGTGTCCCTTCGTTGAGTATGTTATTTGTATACCCCCAGGACCAGGAAATCTTTGAATCCTTTCGACATTGGTTCCAAGATGTACATTCAAATTATTTTGCTTAGCCATCTCGTTTACAATAGATTGAAATGCTCCTTCTAATATCCAGAACCCATTTTCAGGTGTAAATGTGCCTTTAATAACTTCCGGTGTTACCCAAGCCAAACCGTATATAGCTGCAGTATCGTTGATAAATCCATACCCATTCGTTGTTAAATACGTTCGGAAAATAGGTGCTATTAACATCAGATCATGCCTTTCTAAGAAATCCTGTACAGTTCCTTGAATTTGTCGCATAACTTCTGGTGTTGGCCTAGGCATGAGTTCGAAGGAATAGTTTCCAAACAGACAGTGATGGATTCTGTCGTACCTTCCAACGGCAGCTTTAATTCTTCTAAGGGCAGCCTGAGGAGATCTTTCTCCAGTATTCAGTGCCAAACGTTCGGCCCAGGTCGTAAATTCTAGAGTTAACAATAGATAAACGTTAAATAATATCCTTGACTATTTTTCCTTCAATTTAAAAATGTATATATTACAATTAAAATAAGATACATTTCAATTTTCCGGTTCTGCATAGACTGAAGTAATGATTATATTAGGAGGAATTAGTAATTGATATAATATAAAAACACGCTGATATGATGTTTTATTATTTGATTGAATAATTTGCTTATTTTTTGATTGGGTGAGATCAATTAGAAAAATACTACGTTATATTGACATTCACGTGACCTTCCAGGTCAATACAAGGAATTATTGCAGGTCAAATGTTACAGTTATTTACTGGGTATGAGGGCAACATATGATTTGTTGGACCTGAAGGTGAAAATGTTGCCTGAGGCCGCAGGCGGAATCCCAGTCTATAACTGTTTTGTTATACCCTTCAGTGCTCACTTTAGATTTAATCATTATACACTATATTGTCAATTACTTTGTATGGAAAATTATGGCTTAATCAGTAAGTATAAACAATAGCTGAGAAAGAACAAATCAATTATATCTTTATTATATTACAAAAATTATTTATCAAATCCCTCCTTCCTTACATTGTTGGTAGCAACAACTCTTGCAGCTCTGAAATTCGGCTATTTCCGCGTCGCCGATATTGAACGATTATTAATTACTTGTGACGTAGCAGTGACGTTGCGGTTAACAATTCTTATGTTGGACCGACAGGCCAGTCAACAGTAAAATAGTTAGACCGATGTAATAAACATTTCTTTTGTTGGGCTTTTTATTAGTACACATGTAATAAATATATAGAAAGATATTTAAAAGGGTATAACAAAAGGAATTATTGACCTGTTTCATTTTTTTTCTGTTACAATGTCTTGTTGTTAAAACTTTCAATTAAAGCAAAGAAACAGTCTTGGAGGAGTTTGCTATCATTTAATCATATAATAAAACAGTTATTGCTGTGTTTTGCGGTCAATACGATGATTTAGCCACCTTCGAAGTACAATATTCACTTCGCCCTTCGGACTCAGTGAATATTGTACTCCTCAGGTATCTAAATCATGTATTGACCTAAAAAAAACTGCAAATATTGTATATAATATTGATATTATATAATACAGAATGCGTAAGAAAAACAAAATTCAAACCTTTTTGTTTTCAGAGGGGACAT